AGTACTTGCAGTACACTGTTTTTTGACTTGTTAATTTAAATAGCTGTGAAAAACAATTGATAGATAAATCTGTTAAAGCAGAAAGTTGTAAATAAGCATTTGAAAGCACTAGTCATCAAGGCATTCATGAAGGAGAAATGATGTATTTCAGCACAGCCACATAATTTATAAGGAAAGATCTGCCTCAGCTGGTTTCATTCAGCTAGAATTTTAATGGAAAGAAATGATCCAGTGTCTTATCCCAGACAATCAATATCAGCTGTCACATTCATTCGCTTTACATAAATATTTGATTACGCTCAATTCCATTTGTTATGAAAGGAACCAAGAGTACACCAAGCACTCTGCCTCTAAGTGGTAGATCAGTTCATAACCTTTATGGCATATAGTTTGCATTTAATTGTTATAGATTAGGTTCAGAGTGAATGCCATATTTTAAGAATAACAAAATAAAACACTGATGTGATTGCAAAGGTTCACAAGTGTTGCGTTGGTCAAATAGGCAGATGCTTCCCAAATCAATTCGAATCTATAGGAAATCCTTGATGTATTGGTGGAACTACTTGTTCCATAAACACCCACTTCTCTTCTGCTGGTCACTGTGCTCCACAAAGTTCATTATATTCTCATTCACTATGAGATCTAAAAATTCTGAACCTATTTAAATATATCAATCAAAATAAAAGCAATGTGTAATAACTAAAACTAAAATATGTAACTGCTTCTGCCAAATCCTCAACCTAATCTTTTGCTGTATTTATTATACTGCTGTGAGCTAATGTACAAAGGAACGAGAAGCTTGATTTATACCTCCCCGTTCTGCATCTCATTGGAGCTGTAAAAATTGGGAATTCGAAAATCGTGTAATTTACAACAAATTACATTTGTATAGCACCTTTCACATCGAGAGGATGTCCTAATGTCTTCTTAACATTACAATGAGCCGATTGGCAACTGACTCTTTACAACATTTAAAAAGTTCCTTTGACAGCTTCTGGGTGATTATATGGTCTCCCAAGAGATTTTGGGAATGGGATGGAGTTTGGTGAGATTCATGCCTGGCAGGTTTAGATTACGACTGTTATGAATTGCATTTTGTCTAACCTAACTCAATCCAGTGGTGGGAGGAATGAGACTCTTCAGCCATATGTGTTGCTGAGACGCCGTCCGGCATGGAGGGTGCTATATAAATCCAAGTTGTTGTTGTTGTTGCATTCACCCCGCCATATAACTAGTTTTCACAGTGAATTACCAATGTGCAGTATAAATGCATTTGTTTCAGCATGACCAAGTGTTGTTTATTCAGCTCGGAAATGATAGAGCCAGTAATTCTCAGTCGGACAGTTGGTTTCTTTTTTGTATTAGGTGTTTTGTTTGTAATTAAAGATAAAAAGTACCTCTGGAGGCAATCAGTGGTTTGGCATGCAATTGCTAAGTGTCCATCAACTCACATTCAAGTCTACAATGCCTTGTGATGGTTATAATTGGTGTTTCTCCTCCTCCATTAAACTCCTATTGTGCTGAAGCAGGTGATTCATACTGAGAGCCCAGTTCCATTGATGTTGCTGGCCTCTTATCATTGGTATCATTGCCCACGTTTGTGTCATGTGTGAGCCTGGACATTGTGTTCCAGAGGGCTGTTCAACCTTGGGATCTTTTGTCATCACCTGGCATTCACACATGCATACGCATGGCTGGATAGGAATGAATAGCAACAACAACAACAACAAGATTCCATTTATAAAGTGCCTTTCACGTCAGGAGGACGTCCCAAGGCGCTACACAGTTGGGTCAGGACCCGAGCAGGGGAGGAAATGGTCAGGGTGAGGGGAGGGAAGGGAGGGAGCGAGGAGGGGGGAAATGGTCAGGGTGAGGGGAGGGAAGGGAGGGAGCGAGGAGGGGGAAGAGAGTCGAGAGGGGAGCTGAAGGCTCGGTCAAAGAGAAGCAGCACCCTGGCTAGTATTCACACAGCCTGGAGATGCTAAGTCAATAATAACACTCTCAGTGCTTTCTTAGCTGTGATCAGCTAATCAGCTAATCCAATATACACGTTAGATGGACAAAACGCAAAATACTGCAAATGCTGGAAAACTGAAACAAAGACAGAAGCCAATGGGAACACTCAGCAGGTCAGGCAGCATCTATGGAGAAAGGAAATTAAGTCAATGTTTGGGTCCAGGACACTTCGTCAAAACTGGGGCATGTTGGGAGGGAGAGGCTTTTAAGGGCTAACAGAGAGGTGGGAGGCATAGCAGGAAGACAAAGGAGAAAATGGGGTAGAGGATAGGAACTGGAATCTCGGGGTTGGACTTGCGGAGAGAACGGATCCCAAACATAGATTTCAAGTGAGACAGTGATTTACGTGTACTACCACCAATGTAGTTGACTGCATTCACTGCTCACAATGTGGTCTCTACATTGGGGAGACAAAACACAGATTGGGTGACCGATTTGTCGAACAACTCCGTTCTGTCCACAAGCACAACCCTGAGCTTCCGGTTTCTTGCCACTTTAACTCTCCCTCCCACTCGCACTCTGACCTCTCCATCCATGGTCTGTTACACTGTTCCAATGAGCCACAGGACAAGCTCGAGAAGCAGCACCTCATTTATCTGCTAGGGACCTTACAGCCCTCTGGCTTCAATATTGATTTCAATAATGTCAGACCATAACAGGTCACCTTCTCCCTCCCCCTCTTCTGTGACCATTACCACATCATCTGGGTCTCAGACACACCTTTTTCTCTCTGACCTGTCTATTTTGTTGCAATTCCCCCCCCTTCTGCAGTATTACCACCTCTATTCCCCTGTTTTGTTGCAATCCCCCCTTTGTTTTGCATCATTAACACCTTTTAAACCCATCATCCTCTACCCATCACCCTCTACCCCATTTTCTCCTTTGTCTTCCTTGCCCTGTCTCCCCCTCTCTGTTAGCACTTAAAAGCGTCTCCCTCCCAACATGCCCCAGTTCTGATGAAGGGTCGTGGATTTGAAACATTGACTCACTTTCCTTTCTCCATAGATGCTGCCTGACCTGCTGAGTGTTCCCAGCAAATTCTGTAGATGTTAGATGGAAACTCAGCTCTTTCTCATTTATATGCTCAGTTTCACACTGCTGAAATCATTCTAGCAGCTCATTTCAAACATTTATATTGCCAAGCTGCAATGAAAGACGTCATTAAACATAATATACAAAAACTGCCTTGGGCATGTTTTATTATTTGTATCAAAGTGGATGATAGATTTTCTAATTTGAGGCTTGGAAATTTATGATTGCATGGCTGATGATCCACTAAGCTACTACGGGTTATTTTGATACACTTTGGGAGAATGAATGAGAATTGATCTATATTCCCTTGTTAATAAGGTCATGTAAAAAAAAGCAGCTGACGATGGTTGGAAAATTCTGTTCCAGATTAATGGGAAAATGTGTTTTGTGTTTTTGTGGGTAACCATTACATTCAGGCAGGGCCAAAAAAAACACAAAACACATTTTCCCTTTACTGTGATATCACATTGATACACATTTTCCCTTTACTGTGATATCGCATTGATAGCTATCACATTGATAGCTGGGTACGAAACCTGCAAACAGAGCAAAAGGGATTTTTCTCTTGAAGATTCACTCAGGTAGATCATAAAAGAAAACATTTCAATTAGAAATAAAAGTTCTTTCCATGGATAAATGGGGTTCAGCCTGATGCTGTTCAGATCAGTTCTCTGAAGAGAATTGTGATTCACAATCACAGCTGCCATTCAACAAAGGTTATCACAAGAAGTTGTTTGCTTTTGATTCACGTTCAAATGTAGCTCCTGTAAGGATCCTGCTACAGGGACTTCAGAGATTGCATCTGAGCTATAAACCAAGCTCTCAATTAGGACCATTTTATGGTTCCAGTTCATATTGCTGCAAGATATACTGCAAGTAACCAAGCAACTGTCAAAGAATCTTTGCATAGTGCTTTGCTATACCACACCTGATTTAAAGTTAATCTGAACAATAAATATTTAACATAGAAAATCTGAACAAGTTATACTTGATAAAATGAAATTTCCTGAATTCTAATAAATGATCTGTAGTCAGGAGAGGTTGAAATACTGTTTTTGAAAATTGTTTTAAGAATCTCTTAACGAGAACAAAAAAAATCAGTAAATCAACTTCCAAGCAAAAAGTTCCATAGAATTAATTATTGTTCAATCAAGTGAAATCTTACACCAATCTTGTCTGTGTTGCTGTACTTGACAAGCGGCATCTCACTTTACGCTGCACAGTAGGAAAACTATTAACCATTTTTCTATCAAAGCTTTGTGATCTCATATCTTGTTCATTATCCTATTTAGTGGATTGCACATAAAAAAAATTGGATTTCTGATCCTCGACCTTAATATGAAACCTGTTTAAACTGTTACAACTTTGATATTAGAATAGGAAATTAAAATATCTTCTTCAAGGTCAATGGTAAGTGGATGCTAAGCATGTAATGAATGGAACGGGACATATGATGTTTCATGGCATGATTCTGTCTATTGTTTGGCCAGAGAAGGAAATTCCAGTATGAGGGGAACACACCTACTTTTATTGGAGGCTCAAAACTCTGCTTGTTTGCTCTCAAGCAGCTAAGTGGTTATGAGAAATTAAAACACATTTTTGAGCTTGATTGATTTTGTTATAACTATTTCAGATACTGACGGAAATATTTAAAATTGGGGATTTTGTTTTGTTTCAGCTTTGAAATACATCCATGTTACCAGTGTGTTGGCAGTGGATTTTAAATGCTTTTGATGTGTCTGATTCAGACAGTGATGCATGGCTTCATAAAATAATGGATTATTTTGCATGCTGAAATGGAGGGATTTACTGCCCTCCCCATCAAGGAAATTGTTTATTAATATGCTTGAATAAAGAGATGCATGCAATTGAACATTGATGTACTTTATATTTAAGAAAATATTTTTGAAAACTGATGCTAATCAATTATTCTTTCCAATGTATGTATATAGCTTCTCACTTGGAAGAAGTTATTGACTGGCCTGTGGAGGAACTACAACTGGGCCAAGTTTCTGGAGTTGCTCTGGATTCCAAAGATAACCTAATCATTTTCCACAGAGGAAACCATGTCTGGGATGAGAAGTATGTGATCCATTTCATTATATCAAAGCTTTCTGGAGGAATTAATTTCTTATTTTCTAAAAAAAAAGTTAGTAATTTGGTCACTTAATCTTCGACTGTTTGTGGGACACTGGGGGTGGGGAGGGGAATGATGACCGAAAGCCAGATAGTCAGATCAAAGAGGTACATACGTCTTAAGGCATTTTGTTAAAAAATCTATTGGCATGAATACAAGGGCAAGGCAAATTTATCATTTTTTTATGATGTCATATTTTATCGATTGTGTATTTGGATAATTTGGGGTCAGAGCACCAGTTTATCAAAGAATAATGTCCTTTAAGGTTTCTTTAGTACAAGGCAAAAACAATTTGTTTTAGTGACAGTGCCTTGCTGTTCATTTGAGCAAGGTTTTAATACTTGCGACTGTTGAATTCTGCTTCTTGAAAGCTGAGACAATCGTAATAATTAGGCAAAAAATCAAGCATAACTGAATAAGGATCATTATAAGTCCTAAGTGTCTTTAAATTGTTCATTATTTTGATTACCTGAAGGTTATCGCTATTTATAGTTTGAGTTCAATTGCAGAGAATATTGGTTGACTTTCCTAGAAACTTCACAGTGAATATTTATGATGAAGAAATGAAGCATACATGATACAGAAGTGAATAGATGCATTAGGATGGTTGGCGGCTCATGTGGAATATAAATTCTGGCATGGACTAGNTTTTTGTGCTGTAGTTTCTATGCAATTCTATGAATTAACTAAAGGACTTCTAAATTCACAGTATTGTGAGTTCAAGAACCATGGTGGGATTTGAGCACCTTGTCTAGGCTGAGTATAATATCCCAGTCAGTGCTGAGGGAGCGCTGCATTGTTGAAGGTGCTATCCTTCGGATGAGATGTTATGTAGAGATTTCGTCTGCATGTTTGGGAATCTAAAGATCCTATGACATTACGTATAAAGAGAAGGATGTTTCTCCCAGTGGCCTGGTTAATAATTCTCCATATTAATTGGTATTCACCTCACGACTGATTGTGGTCTTTGCTGTGTGTAAAATGTCTGCCACATTCGCTGACAAAAGGGCACTTGACAATCAAGAGCTCAGAGATGTTTCTATGTGATAAGGCACTATAAAAATGAATGTTCTTTCTGAATTACTGATTAAAATTTCTCAGTATATCTTTTCAAAAGATAAAGGTCAGATGGATTTGAATCAAGAACAAATGACAAGACAGCGCATTCAGGTTTATGTTATAGTCCTTTGATCATATGTATACGAGTGTATGTAAAGGTATGCAGGTTCATGTTTGGATCATGAGTGAATTGGAAGCCTTACGCTTTAGTAAAATGAGATGACAGTCATACAGTATAATTTAATTTATGCAACATAATATAACTTAGCAGGGAACTAAAGCAAGTAATTATAGTATTAGCAATACATTAATGAAAGTAGAGAAAGCAATCTTAAATCCTTGTTATCTAGGGTAGTGCTGTCCCAGCATACAGTTAAATAGCTGAATTAAACCCAGATACTCTGCTCATATAGCCCAATCATTTTCAGCCAATTATCCACATAAGAAGACATGGAATTCTCATAAATCAACAATTGCAGATAGTTTAATTTTAATGTACACTATTAATAGGTGTTTGAAAATTATTCTTAAATAAATGTTAAAATTTACGGTATTTTGCATGTTATTTTGGGTTAAATAAGACACTATCATTTTATTTGAACCTAGTGCTATTTGCAAGCTTCGCCTTCCATCCTTTGGATGAGACGTTAAACCGAGGTCCCATCTGCCTGTTCAGGTTAAAGATCCCATGGCACTATTCAAAAAGAGAAGGGAGTTTCTCCTGGTGTCCTGGCCAACAATCCCCCAAAATAAAAAAAATGATCACTCACTCCATGTGGGACATTGCTGTGCACAACTGGCTACCACGATTCGCCCATAAAATGCACAGTTAATCTACAGTATATACAATCATAGAATCATACAGCACAGAAGGAGGCCATTCGGCCCATCGTGTCTGTGCCAGCTCTTTGAAAAGAGCTATCCAAATCAACCCACTCTCCTGCTCTCTCCCCAAAGCCCTGCAAACGTGTCCTTCCCAGATAATATCTACTTCTCTCTTAAATGTCCCTGTCTTTAATCAATATTGCCACTCCCCCCCCCTTCTTTTTTTCCTTCCCTATCCCTCCTGAATTCATTGTAGTGCCCTTGTTTGAGACAGGTCTCTGTTATTGCAACTGCATCATAACCCCATGTGACAACTTGAGCCGGCAGCTCACTAATCTTATTTGTCACACTCCGTGCATTTACGCTCATGCACTCCAAGACCGACTTAGTCTGTTTTGCATTTTTTCTCCATCTAATTCCTCTTTTTTCTAGACTACTCCTTGTTGCAATGCTATTCGTAATCCGGTGAAACGCTTTGCGATGTCTTCATGACATAATAAGGCGCTATATCAAATGCAAGGATTATTATTCTTGACTATTACTTTGTGAAATTTTCATCTGTTTAATCAATGTGGTGCAGTATTTGAAGTGGAGAGGGAGCTTGTTTATGCAGTGAATTGGAAGTGGCTCCTGAGTAATCATGGCTGGCTCTCTATCATATTTTGGTTGAATTTGCTGTGGATTTATTTGATGGCTAGGCACAAGTCGTGAGGGATTTCCTCTCTGGATTCGCTAGAATATTAGCTTTATTATAATGGCTATTGCCGTACTTGTCCTGTTGATAGAAATCTTAATTTTTCTACCGTCGCCTTTATCAAATGCTCTCTACCCCTCAGTATGTGTAATAATGTGTGTGCTATTCACTCTTGCATTGTGTTTCTTTAACACCATTTTGGGAACTCGCAATGGGGCATAATTCTCTCATTTGGGATCACTTTCTCAAGTGAGAGTATGTTGCGCGTGCTTTTTTATTCATGTGTGTTTGCACATTATTTCAGGTCCAATTTGAAGACGGGGCAAGGTGGAGAGATTGAGGCAGGAGATCCAGAGGTTCAGGGTGTAGTGCGTGAAGGCATCGCCACTGATGGTGGATTTCAGGGGGCGGAGGCTATGCAGAAGACCCAAGCTGGTCAAGCGAAGGGGGCGGATGGACGAGAGGGGTGTGAGCACGTTGGAGAAGTACTAGGGCATGAAATGATTTGTAGATGAGGATCCTGTGACATGGAGCAAATGGAGTCTGGCAAGAACTATGGTGATTAGGGTGGTGTAGTTTGTATGGGTACGGATACAGGTGGTGGATTTCTGAAGCAGTTGGGCTTTGTGAATAGTGGAGCTGGGAAGACCGGTGAGGAATGAGAAATCAAGGTGGAGGGGACAAAAGTGTGGATGAGGGTTTCAGCAGCATTGGGTGTGAGAATGGTCAGAGAGGGTGGATTAAGATGGATGGAGGTAATGAGGTGGAGGAAGGCAGTCCGGATGTGTATCTTATAGTATTTATAGCAGACATTTGTATAGGTGATGCGTTCCATTACGTATGTGACAACATGTCTAGATCAGAAGACTAATTGCCTTATGTATTGCTGCCTCATGGAAATTAGTGTCTTCAATTTTCTGCTGCATGGCAAAACATTAATGCTGACTACAATAATTGCATTTGAAAAATAGCCATATGCTTTGATGAAATGCATGCCTTAGGGCTTCAGATTTATTTTGAGCCATGTCCTTGGTTCACAGCCTCTAGTCTGCTGACACCAGTGGCAAAGAGAATGTGGGAAAGAGAATCAAATTAACTTGCCCAAGGCACATTAAGCAGTGATTGAGGCATTCTGACTTTACCTGTGAAAATAATTTCAATAAATATTTATAAACTTCATATTGCTTGAAATCTATGCTGATTAAAATACTGTATATAGTCTGTTTTGAATCCCAGTACATAGTTAAGAAAGAAACCTAACCATGCTCGTGGTCAAATAATAAGATATACCAAGAAATGCATGTGGTGATAGATTGAAATAACCTTACAGTAAGTGGACAGTATAACAAAATATAATTGGGTAATCTGGGTAAAGCACATGTAAAGATTGACCATATGCACCTTCAGCATCCATAAATCCTGTAGCTTAGTGGTTAGAGCACTCAGCTCTCAAGCGAGAGGAATTGGGTTCATTTCCCAGCAACTGCAAGGTAAACAGAGGTGTATGGAGTAAGTTTCCTCCACATACCAATATTTACCTAGAAGTTGTTAGTCGATTGGCAGATTGCTTTTCTAATTCCTTCAAAATAAATAAAAATATAATTTGGATTATTATTATTATTATTATAAATGTAACTTTAGGCAAATAAAGGATTTTGACCTATCAGCCTGGTTCATTTGATGCTACATTTTGCTTTGGGTCAGTCTCTGGGGCAGATGGTTGTGAATTCAAAGCCAAATTGGGATTTGAGTTTATAGTCCAGGTTGATACTACAGTGCAGTTCTGGGTAGCACTGCGGTACTTTGAATGAAATATTCAGCTGATGTAGGTCTGTATGCTCTTCACGTGGACTTTAATGATCGTTTGACACCATTCAATAAAGAAAAGGGAGTTTATCCCAATCCCAATGAATTGACCAACAGTCCTCCAAATTGATAGTTCATTCACCTCATGGCTGTGGAACCTTACTGTCCCAAACCTTACTTACACAAATTTAGGATTTATCTCCATCTCCATCCTATATTTTTGTGGAGAATGGTATAATTTTGTTTAAAGAATGAGATTCTTTAAATTATGGAGAGGTGGGGTTGGGGGAAAGAAAGCTCCAGTAACGCTGAAGTCCATTCCTGGAATGCCTTATCGAAACAGTCTTCCTATAGGTCTCCAAAACGTGGTCCTTAATCTCTGCCTTAGTTCTTTCAAAGCCGGTTAGAACAGCTGGGAAATAGGAAATAAAAATTGCTAAGATGCTTATATTTAATAATAATAATAATAATAATCCTTGCATTTGATATAGCGCTTTTCACGTCGGAAGGACGTCCCAAAGCGCTTCACAGAACACACTGTAAAGTGAATTGACTGTATATTTGTGGACGAACGCGGCAGCCAATTGCGCACAGCAATGTCCCACAAACAGTCGTAGATTGAAAATGACCAATTTATTATTGTTTTTGGTTTTGGAGGGATTATTATTAGGCTCTGTGTGGAGTAAGGAAACTTGCCCAAGGTTTCGCCCTGACCTGCCTGGAATTGAACTCAGGTCTCTCGCTTGCAAAGCGAGCGCTTTAACCAATTTGAATACCGTCTGGATTCTTTGACTGTCTTGTGTGCAATGGGAGCCCTTGCCCATGGTTTTAATTTTGCACTTAAATTTCTGAATACTTTTATAGTCTATATTTGATGAGAATATGGGGTAGTTCTTTGCAGAAGATGATAAATGGATTTTTTAACATAATTACATGGTACATTGCCAACCAGCATATTCCATCTGTTAGAGATGTAAATGGTGTAGAGATGTATTGCAGATGTAAATGAATAAATTTTGTGCTTTAACCCTTCCACCTGGTTCTGAATATGTAGTGATTGCAGACGGCTGACAGGACAGACAGCTCTGCTCAAACATTAAAATGTGAAGGGTGATTCAGTAGAACCACCTGCACTTGTTTACCTGTTTTGTTAAGGATTTATACTGTAGTCAATGGTCGTCCTACCTGGTGTGAGATAATAATAATCCAGGCATTTAGTATACCTCACAGGATCTACTATTGAAGTGTAGTTGCTGTGTATTTTGTGGGTGTATATAGCAGCCAAATTGCACACAACAATGTCCCACACACAGCCATGAAGTGAGTGACCATTTTTATTTGGAAGGTTGTTGGCCAGGATACTTGGGAGAAACTCCTTTCTCTTTTTGAATAGTGCCATGGGATTTTTAATGTTCATCTGAACAAGCAGACAGGACTTTGATTTAGGGTCTCATTCAAAAGATGGCACCTCCAACAATGAGGACTACCCCAGCACTGCATTAGTTTGCCAGTCCAGACTACGAGATCAAAGTCCTGACAGTGAATCCACAATTTTCTGACTCACAAGCTGATGAGAGTGCTACCAACTAAACCAGGCTGACACCTAATGACCTGAAAGTACTTATCTCCGTATTTAATAGGAAATATGACTTACACATTATACTAATAAATGGAGAAATCTGGTGTTACCAGTACCAGTCATGGTAGATATTGCAATGTTGTTTTTATGCAAAAGTGAGAAATGCTGCTGTTGTTCTATGCTTTGTGGTTGAGACTAATAATTTTTCAATATTTGTCTCCACTGTAGTTCTTTTGATCGAAAGCATATATATCAACCACAAGGTATTGGACCAATACAACAAAGCACTATCTTCACTGTGGATCCAGTTAATTTAAAAATCCTCAACGCTGTAGGAAGAAATATGTAAGTATGAATGACCTACGCTTTTTTGTTCCGAATATAAGACAAGTTTTTTTTTACTAAATTGTTTCACATTTGTTTCTCTACTTATAGTCATAATGAAAATGGGCTGAAAGGCATTCCTCAGCCCTAGCTCCGTTGTGACATTTACACGTAAAGGAAGAGACTACACGTAACTCATGGCAAAGTGTCACAGACACATTATTCATGAAAAGCTACTTGAGTCCAAAATGCACTCGAAGCCTTAGCACACAACCGTAAATAATGAAATCATAAATAATAAAATCTAGCCCAAAGTACATGGGTAATCCTTTCTACTTATAGCAAAAGTGTTTATTGTCACTGCCAGAAACACCAAGCTTTTCTCGTTAGTTAGCTTCTAACTAGTGCTCCAGTGACATCACTGCTGCATGAAGGCCAGTAAAGCACCCACGATGTTAACAGCACTTTCTCGATGCTCTCCCTTCTATGTCACAGTCACCAGATGTTGGCTTGCACCTGAAATATAGCTATCTTGTGCCATACAGGGGACTGCCTGGAAATAGCTTGTTTGCTTTATGGGTGTTTTTGCTGGAGCTACCGAGCTGCCCTAATATTAGAAGATGCAGATGATAGACTAATTATAGTTCCGTTTTTGCTGGGTTCAGCTGGCACAGCCTGCAGAATAGGTACAGATCTAGAATATTCATAGTGAATTGTGCGGCCACTTCAATAAAATACTTCTGGGGATACTTTGTCTTTGAATCAACTGTGACCAGAAAGGTTCTCAGCTGGTCCTCTAGATTCCTTAAAGAGCAAGCAAAACTACTTACTGACTTTTCATCAATATTAAAGATTAGCCATTATTGAAATGCAGGTTCAGTGGTGCTTTGCTCATGCATGTATTTACATATGAACTGAAGTAGTTGGTAGTTCAAGACGAGAGTGAAAAGTCTAACTCCATACTGCTGGCTCATATGATTGTATTGTTGAATCAGTGCTCATGATATAACTGAGGTATGAAAATGCTCTTCCGGTGGCTCAGCTGGTAAAGGCATTACTTGGAGTGAAATTGAGCCATGCAGACATAACAGATTCCCCAAGTATGATGGCTGGTCTGTGCCTAGTTAGATATTATTAGCTGATGCAGCAGGAAACTACAATTGTTATTGTGTAAAAACTTCCAACAGTTAGCACTGAGGGAAAGCAGAATAATAAAATCTGACCTAAAGTAATGTTGCAGCTTTTCTAGCTGTAATTTGTTCCTTTTCTTCATTTTGCCAAATATCTGTCTGGGAGCTGGACCCAAACCAGTTCAATTGGCAAAATGACCTTACAGTATTTTATGCATGTCAAACTAGGAATTGTATGTTGCTAAATATTCTCTAATTGCCACTTGTTTATTTCACCACGTGGGGTTTAATTATAATCCTTACATTTGATATAATGCCTTATCATGTCTTTGAGACATCTCAAAGCACTTCACAGAATATACTGTAAAGTGAATCGACTGTATATTTTGTTGGTGAAGCGTAATTAACAATATGTGGCAAAAGATTTTATAGCTAGTGAATTTGGTTGTTTTGGTGCTGACTTTCTGGAAACGTGGCTGAGATGCTGACTTCTTAGAAACTCAGATTGATGTCTGAGTGGAGTTCCAGATGGTCACAGCTACACGGTCCCTTCAGGATTTGCTGGTTGCAAATCTTACAAATCAAACCCAAATGTTATTGTAATCCACCACTCTCAGAATTGCTGAAAACCACACCATTTATGATGGGCGACATTTAAAGAATGAATAGTCCTGAGACTCAAGACCACTAGCATCAAGTTGCAAAGCAAATGTGGTAACTCAGGGTTCCTAGACTGTATGTTTGTTGTTTGTTTGTGGTTGGAATCAGTCATATGTGATGATTTTATCTGAAGGTCTATTCTTCACATTACAGTTTCTATTTGCCTCACGGCATTAGCACAGATAAAGATGACAACTTCTGGGTAACTGATGTGGCACTTCATCAGGTAGGAGTTTAAACTTGATACAGTCACAGGTTTTACCTCAGGATTTTCTTGAGATTAAGTTGAAATGAGGTTTCTGACTTCTGAAGTATTAAACTAAACATTTCACAAACTGCAGAGGGCATGTTACGTAAAGTAACATCTGTTTTGTAAAATTATTTTATTCTTCTTGCCTGAGAGGAAATTGGACGGTAAACATATCGTAAAATGACCAGGTTCTGTATTTTCAGGTTATAATTTAAAATGTGTTGAATGCTTCTATTTTTCTTGTTCAAAAAAAAGGTTTTCAAACTGGGATCTAAAGGTGAATATTTATTGATTCTGGGACAAGCCTTTCAACCTGGAAGTGACAAGGATCATTTCTGTCAGCCCACTGATGTGGCTGTAGATCCAGCCAATGGCAATTTCTACGTGTCTGATGGCTACTGTAACAGCAGGATTATTAAATATTCGCCAGACGGAAAGTTCATTACACAGTGGGGAGAAGGTACATAATCTTTGGAGAAAACTTGTTATTACAGGACTTGATTTCCTGAAAACTGTACTCATTGTATTCATTGTCTTATTTCTGATGTTCAACGATCATTTTGGATGACATTATTTAAACTGTCTCGAATATTATAGCAAGACTGAAATAGACCTGGAATGCTTTGTTCCTTGAGTTCTGATGTTTTGGCAGAAGCTGAATAGAACTAGTTTAATGTCTCATCCAAAAGACAGCTTCTCTGACAATACAGTGCTTTCCCAGCCAACATTGCGTTAGTGTCAGCCAATGACAATGAGTTCAAAATCCCAATGTGGGTCTTAAAACTGCAACCACCTGACTCACAGGCAAGAGTGCTATGAACATCTAGGCTGACACATGAAATGATTATTCGCTGTTGATAAGATTAACAAACGTTGAGTTCTATGGGTATATAGAGAAATTATATTTGGAATGTCAGTGGAGCAATTATATTGGATTAATGCCTTGAATTTATTGTCAGCCTTTTTTTAATGTTTAATCTTGTCTTTTGGAAATAATCATTTTTCATCTTTTTTTAAACGGATTGTTACAATAGCATTAACATTTTGCCTTGCAGAGAGTTCACTTTCCAGGATACCCAAACCAGGTCAATTCTTCATTCCACACAGTTTGGTGTTCGTGCCCGGATTGAGGCAGCTGTGTGTCGCAGATAGGGAGAATGGACGAATTCAGTGCTTTGTAGCAGAATCGGGAGAATTTCTCCGTGAGATTCATCACCCGGAATTTGGAGGACGACTGTTTGCAGTCTCCTACACACCTGGCAATGGTAATGCTGGATACTAAGTACTGTGTCCGAGTGAGAGTAAACCGCTTTGTATGAAATTGTAACTTTTTGGTCAGTCGGGTGTCTTGACACGTGCAGAAACCCATGCCCATGCTTAAAAGTATCCAAACCAAACTGAAAGTTCCACATTTGTATGGCACCTACACGTGGAGATTTCCTTGTGTCTGGAATGGAATGCACACTTTATTCATAAACCACATTTAATCATTTACTATTCCTGTTCATATTTATGTAAAGTATTATTATAAGTAGGATGTCTTGTAGTGTATGACAGAAACAAATCTATTGTAGGAGAGAGAAACAAATACAGCAAGACAGATTCGATTAGAACAGATGGAAGCTGGTAGGGTAACAATAGTGACCGAATAATAAGAATATTGATTGAAGAAGGATAATGAAGGATGCAGTAACCCATCATCATGCGTAAGAATACCCAAACCAGACACAGTTCCACATATGTATCCCATATATGCAAGAATATTTATTTGTGTCTGGAATCAAATGAGTACTCTCTCCCTAAAGGGATGCACCCTACTTACCTAATTCCAGAATGTATGAGGCGCAGGTGGCAGTTTCGGCTTAGAGACCCCAGAGTGCAAGTTGAGATACTGCTGGAGATAAACAAGCTGAAACTGCATGGAATTGTACAGTAGATGCAAATTCTGGGTTAAAGTGCGTTAAACTTTCAGATGTGTGCTTTAATTTAACTTCACTTTGCATGAATGGTTTAAACAGCCGCAGTAACCAGCCTGTACTTCTAATACCAGTGTGAGATATCATGATGTTGTAAGTAAAGTTTGTTGCTGAAGAAAAAAGGCAGCTAGTACTTCGGCTAATGCAGGGCATTTGACAAATTTTGCAGGAACTTGCAAGGGGTGGTACATTTGCAGAGGATTAATTGCTGCCATTGAGAGACGCATTTTGGTGAAACAACCCAGATTAAAACTATAGGCAGATATTTCCTGAATATGTAGTTATGTTTAAAATACTAAAAACCAAGAATTTGTCGCAGGAGCTCGGGTTAGGCCGGGTGTCGAGCTCACTGGCAGGCGAAGCCGATTTCCCTCTTGCACCGCTTCCACGATCCCAACACTCCCCACGCATGCACGACCTGAGCCACTCCACCCACATTAGCAGCATTGAGCAAACAGTGCACAGAGGCCCAGCGATGAGCACATTGTCCTTTTACAGGTTTGTAGCGGAGGGATGATGTTTGTAGCGCAATCCACAGGAAAAGTGTGGCCACACTTTTCTGTTAGCCAAACTCACAACCAATGCTTTGTGACACTTCAGATATTCCATCTTTATTATCCTTTGAGTTCTAAAGAGCTGGTGGTTGGTGCAGTGTGTCAGGAAGGCAAGCGTGTCTCTTGCCAACCCACTCTCTGAAGTTCCATTCCTGGAGTCCCTCACTCCTCTTTCAAGGCACATCACAACCTAACTCCTTGACTATGCTTTCGGTCAATCTTTTCTCCTCCCCATCCCACCTCTCTCAGTCCCAACCCCATCTCAGATGCCCAGCCAGCAATGTCAAGATGTCCTTCTAAAATGAAAAAGGCGCTATGAAAATGTTGTTGTTTCTGGAAGGGAAACACAAAATATTGCTTATGCGGCTCGGGGACCTTTCTCAAATAGGGAATCCAGCCCACGGCAGCCAAAAGATTGGATCACCCTGCTCTAGAGTGATAGAGAAAAGTAAATGCATCAGTGTATAGCTCAGTCAAAATAACCTACACTTGGTGTTCTTACCCTACAGAAATATCTGTCGCTGATTTCTGGTGCGGCTATAACATTTATCTACATTGAGTAAGTTAGCATCAAGTAATAGGAGGAGGTGGATTTATAATAAATTAAACATCTGAGATACTTTATACACCAACACAAACATAGTAGTTTTAGAAAGTAAGACTACACTGAAACTTGTAACTAAAATGTCATACACCGCAAAGCAAATAGTCATACAAACAGCTCTGAGGAAATGCTTTATTCTGGTGTGGATCGGACCATGAACAAACTGCAGAGATTGCCAGAACTCATTACAATAATTAGAGAAGAAAGAAGTCATAATCACCCTCATTTTTGAATTGCATAGAACATTACATCACGGAAACCGGCAATTCTGCCCATCTAGTCCATACTGGTGTTTAAACTCTACATGGCCTCCACCCAATCCCCTTGCGCATATTCCCATTAGAAAAAAATCTCCATCGCCGAAAAATAAATTTAAAATTCATGCTTTGATTGTTATTGCTTATGTCATTATTTTATGAACTCACTTTATATTTTAGGTGGTCGATTATATGCAGTCAATGGAGAGGCACTTGTTGGCAATAGTGTTCCAGTACAAGGATTTGTAATGAATTTTTCAACTGGAGAAATACTGGATATTTTCAAACCAGCCAAAGAGGTATCAGAAATAAACAAATCATAAGGTTTTGCTAAGAGGAGTGTAAACTAATATATAATAATGATGTAAAATAATAGCTGATTTTTGTTTTCAAAAGCTCCAAATTTATAAAAATGTCAAGTTAAATTGAACACTGATTCAACTTAGAGGCCACATTTGGCTTTGGGAGGTGATTAAAATACTGTATTTATAGTGGTGTGTATATTCGGGTGCTATTCTTTTAGTGCAAAGTACAGGGGAACTGCCTGGCAATGCTAACAGTTGATGCCCTAGAGGAAGAAATCTTGAATTTCTTAAAAAAAATTAAAACGTTGTATAATAACAACAACACATTTACATTTACGTAGCGCCTTTCACGTCGGGAGAACATCCCAAGGTGCTGAAGTCAATCAGGCTCAATTATGTGTTTTCCTCAAAAAAATTACATTTTAAAACTTTCATAAAGTTGTTTAAATGGTGTTTTGGGCTGGAGTACAAAGCATTGTATGTAATGCTCATTACATGCAACATCATTACTGGTGATATTGTCAGGACGAAGGGGGAAGGAAGCTGAATTGGAGATGGTGAACAAGTGGGAGATGGACAGAGATGTGCTTTGGGTGCAAAGAATGAAGATCCTACTAAGAAATCTTGAGATTTCAGTGAGATAATGTTTTACTTTTCCATGTACGCTAACATTAATTTATTTTCCTTCAGAATTTCCTGATGCCACATGACATTGTCGCAGCAGATGATAGGACTGTTTATATTGGGGATGTCCAGGCAAGCAGATTGAGGAAATTCATACCATCAGAAAGTAAGCCTTTCACTTGATTTTTTTCAACACTCTTGTTTAACTTTTATTGCTGTCTGTATTTTTCCTGCAGACTATGAATTATTACCTGCTAGTTTGCTGACATAGCTCTTTCCAGTGTATTAAGGGTGTGTGGAATGGTTCAGTGTGAAGCTTGGGTAAACGGGCATTGCTCTCTTCACTCCTGGAACATAGAACAACTTTTCTATATTTCGTTACGGTTCTGAAAATTAATACTCCCCAGTGGCTCCATTGGTAACATATTGCAAGGTGTGGCATTAGGAAGGTCTGGGGTTTGATTTCCTGATCGATGCTCAATTAATTGATTTCACCTCCCTAGTGGAAGCAATAGCTTAATTGGCCTGGGTATCCTTGGAAGAAGGAGGAAAAGTTCTGCCAAGGATTTTTAGTTTGCATCCTTGCCGAGCAACCCTTGCTGGTTGGAAGCACGTTGTGTAGCCTCTGGGATCCGGCTTAGTTTAGAATCCCCTTGTGTTCAAATAGGTTGCTGAGACTTGGATGTAAAAATTGACCACTTGCATAAGCTAGAGGGAACAGCTGCTGTCTGGAATTATATAAAATGGGGGTGTCAAAGTCTCCAAGCTTGAAGAGGAAAGTGTTCAAGACAACTTGAAGACCTCATCAGTACTGACTGGTGTCAACCTTTTCTTTCTCTGGCTAATGGTGTAGCGAGACTGTGTTTGTTAATGCTTGTTAAGACAATGCTTAACACCAAGAGTAGGGCATTTTTACTATGCCAGATAACAACAAATTGCATTTATATAGCGCATTTCATATTGGGAGCACGTCCCAAGGCGCTGGACAGTGAAGTTTTTGCACCCAAGCTGGAGATTGAAGTCAAGAAGGGTGGAGGACAAGGTGGGGTGGAGGTGTCAGGATGACCAAAGGCAAGGTCAAAGAGAAAGCTCTTGAGACGAGCCTTGATGGAGTCAAGGGAGGGAGCGAGACGAAGGGGCTCCAGGATGGCGTTCCAGAGGGTGGCAGCAGAAAGACTGAAGACCCAACTGGTGATGATGGCAATGCAGGTGACATGGAGCAGGCCAGTACCCACCAAGTGCGGATAGATGTGTATCCAAAAAAAAACTACAGTATCCTTGATTCTATCAGGTCTAAGACTTCTAGTACTGACACAGGATTTGGAGTTTTGCTTGTAGTTTGGGCACTGTTCCATCTCTGACTCCAATCCAACATTCCTTGCAGCTGACAGGTGGCTGTTTGGCACTTGTAATCGAACAAATCTGTGCACAGAAGGAGGCCATTTGACCCATTGTGCCTGTGCTGTGTTTGCTTCCCTCCGGAGCTACATATGTATTTATCTCATTGCACTCTTTGAAATATCGCAATTGGCTCAGTTTCAATAGCCACTTCTGGTAACGTGATCCACAGCTTAATTAAACTCTGCATAAGAAGAAATCTCCAAGTAATAATCTTGAGCTGCTGCTTTCTTGCTGCCACTTCATCAAACAGCGTAATCCATAAAGTGGAAGCCTTGTCCACAAGAGCCAAAAGGGCTTCAAGTTGTGTTTCCCAACACAAAAATGACCCAAAGATTGAAAAAGGAATATTTTTGAAGGAAGGTTGGCCTTATTTCTCACCCCCTCCTCTTCGTAAGCTACTCCTCCAGTATTGACAGCTGAATGAGTTTGAATAAAATAATTTTCTGTGCACAGTATTCCCCAGTCATGATTTGTTCCACATATGTATGCGACCTACGCATGGGAATTTTGCTGTGTCTAGAATGTGCTCTCTCTTTCCAAAGGGATGCACCCTACTTACCTAGTTCCAGAGTGTTAGTTGCAGGTTGGCAAGCATCGAGGCTTGGGGACCGCAGAGCACTGTCTGGCAAGCTTCAAGTCATTGGTCCAGCTAGGACATTAAGGCTTTAACTTGCATGGTTAATGGGAGCTGAGTGGAAAGAATCCCAACTCCCAGTGACACGTTCATGATAGAGCATAAGGGGAGTGGTACACAATATATTTTCACAGACTGCATCCGACAAGCAATAGTGGTATCCTGTACTATGGGTCTTAGTCCTTCAGGTAAGTCCTTCAGATTTGTCAACATAAAAAACATAACTGCAAGAGTTCAACCAGCAAGTGAATAATCTCCTTGATAACATGGAGGTAATAAGGGGAAATTCCATATATTGTAGGCTCACTTTTGAGGGTTTCTTTTCATAGTTTATTTTACGAATTGAAGTTGTTTTACGGAAATTCTACTTGCTATTTCAGAAGCTGAACACCGTTCAGTAAAGAAAGCGGGGCCCGGTATTGAGGTACATGAAATTGATGGTTAGTATTTTCTGTGTTTGTATTTTGTGAAATGTTCCCGACATGAAAGACTCTATATAAATGTAAAAATTACTGTTGTTTGTAACGTCTAAGAATACATATTTTTCACATACAAGTGTGTATTTTTCTTAAATGGGATGACCTCCTGATGTGAAAGGTGCTATATAGTGCAATTTATGGTTATTGTATTAAATAAATGAACACAAGAATAATTATTATATAGAATGTACAGTATTAGTGGGCAACATTTAAACAATTGTAAAAGGTTTTTGAAGTCAAAACATACTTATTTGCATGAAATTAATTTGACCAAATCTGTATCAAAGAGTGATTATTGTAAAATGTCCCCATCAGTGACTTAAGTGAAAGAGGTGTGAACTGATTTTATATATTTTTGTCAACTTTAAAGCAACTGAGACATTTCTAGAAGCAGAAATAGAAGGCAAGATGAAAGCCCCTGATGTGCTTGAGAAGCATAATAGGAAGAATATCCTCAAGCAGGCCAGCACTGCAGTTTCTCCCGTCCTTATTACGTTACTGCTGGTTATTCCTGTTGTGGTGTTAGTAGGCATCGGAGTTTTCATCCACTGGCGAAAGGGCAAGATGTATGGAGGTACACAGTATAATTCATATTGCAAATACTGTATTAATTATCTGCGATTTCTGGCAACCCTATTTTACTGGCCACTCCCGCCACTCTGCCACCTCCAGTCTCATGCTCCTCTGCCCTAACTTTTGCAGACGATCTTTCAGATTTACCACACCCTCAGGAACTCTCTTTCAAAATCCCCGCCTCGTGTTACCCCTTCCATCAAAAAATCTCTCTCATGCATCCCACTCCCCACTGCCTTTATCTCTCACCCAGGTCAGGCTCCCATTCCTTTGTGAAGCGCTTTGAGATGTTTCCCCAACATGAAAGAAACTATATAGGTGCACATTGTTATTTGTGAAGAATTGCAGACGGTTTTAGCTGATTAAAGTTGAGCAGTACCCCATTGCACACTCTAGGGTCCCCAAGTCCTGACTCTTCCTAACCAGTGCCTAATACTCTCCTGAATTAGGTAAGCAGGTTGTGTCGCTCCAGGGAGAGTGCACATTCCATTTCAGACACAGGGAGATTTCCATTTGTAGGTGACATACATATGTGGAGCTCTGTATAGTTTGGATACTCTTACGTTGTTGGGTGACTGCAGGTGTCAGATACCCAGCTGACCAAACAGAAATTGTAGCCACTAATTTTTGTCCTAATACCAAACTGTATAATGTAATCTGAACCTTATAAATATGGTATTTAATTCCTTATAAGCCACTCCTAAACATCTAAAGATATGTTTTACTATTATTACACTGCACTAATGAACATCAGTGCCTGCTGTTACTTTTCTGATGACAGCATCAAAGGTGCAATATAAAAGCCCAATTTTGAATGAGGCCACCTTTACAATTGGTCTGGACTGGGTTTTTTATTCTTTATGCCAACTTGAACCTGTATGCTACCACTGGAAATCTGCTCATTTACTAGCTGTTTTTAAAATTATGCTGCATTTGTACTCTTCTTCCGTTGGGTAGAAATGATGGCACAAATTGCACTTTGTACACTTGTTTGAGTATGATTGTGTGGAGCTTGATTATTTCTCCCTTAATGCAAATGGATAGTATAGCTCCACACTCCAACCTCTCACCACTACATTAATAATAAACCTTGCATGTGATATGACTCATCTGCTTCACAAATGATGGCTGTAAAGTGAAGTGACTGTATTTATAGCAGACAATTTGTGCACAGCAGTGAACCAGCCAGGAAGCGAATAATGACCAATTTATCAGGGAGATAAATGGCCAGGACACAAGGAGAACCTTCCTTCTCTTTTCTGTTAGTGTGAAGAAACCTTTAATATAGGAGTCCTGTAGCTCAGTGGTTAGAACACTCGCCTCACAAGCGAGAAACCTGGGTTCGATTCCCAGCAGGGCGAAACCTTGGGCAAGTTTCCTTACTCCACACGCCTAATACCCTTAAAAAAATAATAAAATTAGTCACTTCAATCCACGACTGTTTGTGGTACACTGCTGTGCGCAATTGGCTGCCGCGTTTCACCCACAAATATAGTCCATTCACTGTACAGTCTATTCTGGAAGATGTGAAAACGCGCTATATCAAATGCAAGGATTATTATTATTATATGTACCTGAACAGGAAGACGAGGCCTTGATATTTGATCTGAAGGATGACATCTCCAATAATGCAGTGCTAATCCAGCACTGCGTTAGAATGTCAATCGATCCTATGAGTATAAAGTCTTGACGTGGGATTTCAACCCCCAACCTTCTGACTCAGAGGTGAGTGCTACCAACTGAGCCAGGCTGATCATTCTGTATGAAGTTGAAGCTATATCAGAAGAGCCAAAATATATTATCTCTTCTGATATCGTATCAGCTTCAACTTGGTACTATATCACATCAGCAAAACCAATAAAACTCCTGTTATATTGGCTTCGCTGATATGGTATCAGTACCAAGATTGTATAAAGGAGTTGCACAAAAGGAGCAGCTCTTTTATATGAATCTTGCAGTGCTTTTTTCAAAATGTATTGCCAATTTATTAGAAACAGAATACGACAGTGTATAGGCTGACATTGTATTTTATGTTGTCCACACAGAAGATGCTGACAGCAAATTGGAGTCAATACAATCATCAGGAGGAATCTTGGGAAGATTTAGGGGTAAGGAAGCAAGAACATAATTTTTAATTGTGTTTAAGTAATTTCTCCTGCATTTGTAGAATGTACATATTAATGTAATTGTTCATAAAGACTTCAAAGACAATTTTACATAACAAACACAATGTAAATAACAATTTTTTTTTACTTTAATTTGTATAATTCATACTTCTTATTCTAATACTACGGTAATGTTGACTGGAACTAAAACCATAATTTTTATTCAGAAATATTTGATTCCTCGTGACATAACTGCAATAAAATGTTGATAAATTTACAAATGGAAATCCAGAATTGTGAAAATATGAAGTGTATTGAACAGATCTGATCACAAGATTTGTGTGGATAAAGAAGGTCCTTCAGCCCATCTGACCTCATCTTTCCAAAACTCCCATATTCTCATCCACAGCATCAGGTTGTTTTTTAAATGAGTCCAGTGTCCTGGCTTCAACCACTCTTCCTGGTATTTTGGTGTTAATTAGCCTCTGGGTAAAGAGAGACATCCTGATATCTGTTCTTATATATGGCTTGTGTTCTATTGTCTTGGTACATCCTGAAGTATTGTTTGGCGTTCACTTTTTTAATCCCATTTGAAATGCTATACCCCTCTGTAGAGCCCCATGAGTTTTCTTCTCTCAAGACTGGAGAACTCTATCTTGTCTAATCATTCCTCTAACAGTGCCGATTATCGACTTTGCTATCCTCTGTACTGTCTCTGGGCTCAATGCAACCTCCAATTATTGCAGCGACAAGAACTGTATCCAGTTCTCTAGGTGTGGTTTGAAACTTTGCCTCAAAATGAAGGAAATCAAAGTTAGATGTATTATATGTCCAATAAAGTGCAATATCCTTTTTTATAGAAAACAATGGATTTGTCAGAATATCCACATTAAAACAAAATTATTTTATTTACGTCAGGAAAAAACAGCCGAGGACTTAACCTGGGCAACTTCTTTGCAAGTCACAGAGGGTACAGTCGAAAGGGTTTTGACAGACTAAGTACTGAAGGAAGTGATCATGAAAAAGATGAGGAGGGCACAGACTCAGAAACAGAAGAATATTCAGCACCGCCAACCACCTCATCCTCCTGAGATATGCTAATTCAAGTTTGATCCAATGAGGGTGACCATATGTTGAACTCTCATTCTTTTTCCCTAAAAGCAGATGTATTCAGGATATGTGTTATATTGTATTTGTATTAGTCTGTTTTGGATATACAACATGTACTTTTATTTATTTTTTTTTGAAGATTTTCATATCATGCTGTTGCTAACATATTTGAAGAGTCAAATCTGTTTTACTCTAGGGACCAGGTATTATCTTTAATTCAAGCACATCTCCTGCTTCAGACCATCTTACTCTTTATTTAATTATTACTGCCTTATTTTGCAAGAGCTATGAACCTGTGTTGGTGAATCAGTAAGTTTTCTCTGCTTGACATGTAGCATTTGGCTACCGTCCTGTCTGGCACTTTAGTCTATATTTCCAGTGTGTAATATTGTGCCTTCTCTATCGAGCATTGTCAGCCTACTTTAGTATAATTAAATTGTGCCACAGAAAAGAAACAAAGCTGCTGCTTTGTGTCTTAGATTCTCCATAATTGTCATTTTTGCTTTATTTGGTGCAGAGAAAATATGTGTATACAGAGATAAAGTTTCTGTATTTGCAACAAAAATCAATTTTTTCTGATGTATTCATAGTAAATGTCAAATACATTGAATCTGGGGGAAAATTGTTATATTGTCAGAACACTATTTTCGGTCACTGAATGTAATTTGTGTAATAAAGTGTTCGCAAGCATTACTCATGCAGGTAACCTTCATTTGGGTTTTGCAAGTTTTCAGTACAAATATATTCTGATTGATTGGTTTGTTCAATTTGTAATGGGTCTGGTAAAGAAACATATTTATTGTCAAAAATAGCAATCGAAATTCCTAAGAGCTTCAGCAGTAATATTAATAATAATTCTTGCATTTGCATCTCCTGGAGGGTTGATTCAAGAGCATCTCTGATGTTTATGGACCTATTCACAAGGCACTTTTCCTGCCCTCTGACTTATGAAGATAGAATGGGAGTTGCTGACTAACTTCAGGGTTGAAATGGCTAAAAATAAGAAAAAAAAATGGTGTAGAAAATAATTTGGAATTTGTGCCCTTTGTGGTAGTTTCCTACATCATAAATTTTAATCTAACCTTGGCTTTTAATAGAGGGGCTGAGCAGAGTTGAGACTCTCTTAAAAGGGGGAACAACATTTGGAAAGCTAATAAACTTTTAGGCAATTTAGAAAGTCTGTAAAATAGCTTGCTGAATGATACAGCCAATATGCCATGTTTTGTCTATATAGACTTATTTATGCTAAATATTTCATAGATTCTTTGTCTTCGTATCTATCTGATCTCAGCCTTGTTCATAATACACTCACTGTAGTTCATTCACTTACCTCTGCTACAATATTCACAATACTGTCTGTAATACATTGTAAGTTTTTTTTCAATTTCCTTCCTTTGTGATAGAATTTTAAATGTTCTCTCACCAAATTGAGATTTCAGGGTCGGGGAGCCCAATTACAAGTTTATTACAGATATCAGATATCTGTAGTGTTGCACTGGGACATTACACTGTCTGGAGCTGTGAGTCACCGTGCTGTCTGTGCACACAATTATACTTTGCGAATAAGCAGGACAGAACAATTACACCCTTAAAATGGATCTCTGACGTCAGTGCCAGTTTCCCCCAAAGCACACAAGTGAACTGCACTTCTGAAACAAGGTTTTGTGGGGTTCCAGCCCCATGTCAGGACTCTGAATGCAAATAGTCTAGGCTGACACTCAATGCTGCAGTGGGTTGCATTGTTGAAGGAGATGCCATGTCATCCTTTGGATGAAATATTAAACTGAGGCCCCATTTGCCAGTTCAGATGGACATCCCAACAACTCTGAGTGAAAATAGATCCGTGGTCTAGGCTAGCCAATCTGAACAGATGAGCAGTTGAGGTGAACAAAATTGGCCTCTGCAACTTGCAGGGGGAATATTAACTGGGTTAATTTGCCCCCCACACACCTAAAGCGTGTGGCCATCGGGCAATAACAGCACAAGATCTGTGATACCCTCCTATGCTCAAGTTACTTGCCAGTCAAGATTCTCATTAACTTGGACATGAATAATGGCCAAGTAGGCAAAGTATTTGAGGGCCGGGGAGAAAAATCAACAAAGAAAAAAAGTTGACTTTTTTAAATTTTCCATTGAAAAGAGTTTAAACCCATCCTGTGTAAAATCACAGCCACAGGCTTATATACAAGCACTCAACGAACTGCTTAATGCAACATCAACAAATTGTGGTGCTATCTACCTAGATCAACTTTCCTACAAATAGTAATATACATGTAGTTTAGAGAAGATGAAAAGATACAGAGTGGAGCTGCAGCCAAATTCAGCACACCAGAATGTGGTTGTCATCTTTCAAATTTTGAGAGAACAGGTGATTAATTGAAGAGACTTCTACGTCCGTAAGTAATTTTCAGTGTACGCACACACAAAGATGCAGAAGTGATGACAATGATGATCAACTTTGGAAACCCTTGCCTGGATACTAAACTACTAGGGAAGAAATATCACTTGACGACAGTGTTTTATACATTTTTTCCTCAAGACAATCATTGCTACAAAATGGGCCAAACAGCCCAATCATACCTTTCCAGACCACAGATCCTCGTTTTGTTTCTAGGGTGTCATTTTTGTCTTTTGGGTTCAAATATGCTTAATATATACATGTAGAAAGTAACTTTCCTGGTGGGAAATACATTTGTTAATATTGCTATACTATTGTATCAAAATATGATTATTTTGCAATACCCCTTAAATGGTGTAATTAATACAATCAAAAGATTTAATCATTAATAATCATGAGTGAAAAAATACCGAAGTTGATTATTGTGGAGGACAATGAAGTTTTACAGGTATTTATTGTTTAAAATATTTCTTATCCCACTTGGACTAAAAAAAAACACAACTAAAGAAATTACCAATTGGAAACATTTAGATAAAACTTTGCTCAACCTTCACATGAATTAACTGAATGGTTAATGAACCAAGTCATTACAGTATGGAGATATAATTGAAAGATGACCTTCAAAGAAAAACAATTTAATACAATCGACAGCTTCCTGTAAAACCACTTCTAACAAGTTTGTACAATGCAGATGGTAACCCTTTAAATTCTGTTTGAAGAGCTTAATTTCCCAAAGAAGCATATTTTTCATTTTATTCAATTAATCCTACTTATAAAGAAACGTTTTGATGTTTATTCTTAATTGACATCCACTTCAGCAACATTAAATACATTCAGTAACATAAAGATTCTGGTTCAGCATACAATCAAGCAGATTCAATGTTCAAAACAACAATTTGTGGGATTCACAGTGAACCATAACATATTTGCAAGATAAATTATTCTGTGCATTGCTCTTTTTAATGTTTTCACAAGAACTTAATATTCATTTGCATGTTTTAATGAGCTGCCTATCAAGGAAACTCATTTACATGATGGTGGGTCTCTAACTGTGGGAATATATGTGTGCAATTCTAGGAAAACAGCTGTTTGGAAGAATGCCAATATTTGAAGAGATAGATAATAGGGCATAGATGATCAGTTAACATGTTGGTGTAGTGTTGGCTAGTCTCACAGTGTAGCCCTACAATTACTAATATTATTTTATGTCGCAGACAGCTTCAGCAAATTCTGTATTCCCTGGACCCATCCTGTCTAAATTTTTTAAACATTTCAGTTTACACCTTGTGATGCAGATGAGTTACCACATATTCTATGAATCATATTATTGACATATTGAGTGGATGTATAACTAATATTAAGGTAATATTTAAAAAATTCTAAAAACGACCTTGACTCTATCATGTTCCTTGCATATTTGCTTTGTTTTTACGCTATTTATCTCAGAAGGTTGTGAGTCCAAGACCCATGTTGGGACTTAGAACCCGTACAGTTTGTGCCGACACTCCAATGCAGTGCAGGGGGTGAGTTGCATTGTTGGAGGTGCCACCCTTCGGATAAGATGTTAAACCAAGGTTTTGTCTGCCTATCAGGACTGAGGTGGATAGATATTTGTTAGGTTAGGGTATCAAGGGTTACAGACAAGGGTGGGTAATTGGAGTTGAGGTACAGATCAACCATGATCTTATAGAATGGCTGAACAGGCTCGAGGGGCTGAATGGCCTACTCCTAGATATAATGTAGAATATACAGCGCAGAAACATGCCATTCGACCCAACTGATCTATGCCGGTGCTTATGCTCCACATGAGCCTCCTCCTGCCATTCCTGTTTCTATGTTTCTGTCCAGGTGGAAGTTAAAGATCCCATGGCACTATTCGAAAAAGGAAAGGAGTTTCTCCCAGTGTTTTGACCAGTAACCCTCCCAATAAAAATATGGTCGCTCACTCCATAGTGGAGTCTTGTAGTAATTAAGAGCACTCGCCTCTCAAGTGAGAAGACCTGTGTTTGATTAGGCAAGTTTCCTTACTCCACATGCTTCAGTGTCCCCAGCAGTAAGTAGAAACCCGGTTGTTAGTTGATTGCTGGATTGCTTTTCCTGGGATAATAATCCCTTCAAAAAAATCATAATAATTGTGCCACTCAATCAACGACTGTTTGTGGGACACTGCTTGCATAATTGGTTGCTGTGTTTCGCCCACAAAATAAACAACAACAAAATTACCTTTGTATAGCGTCTTTCATGTCGGGAGGACGTCACAAGACGCTACACAATTAATGTTTCGGACCCGAGCTGGGGATCACGATCAAGGAGGGTGGAAGGGTGGAGGGCAGAGGGGAAGAAGTGTGATCGAAGGCACGGTTGAAGAGGAGGGTCTTGACATGGGTCTTGAAGGAGGCAAGGGAGGGGGCGAGGCAGGGGAACTGAAGGATGGAGTTCCAGAGGGTGGAGTCAGAGTGGCAGAAGGCCCACCCGCCAATGGTGGGAAGGGCGAGGAGAGGTACGGGAAGCAGGACAGAGCCCACTGAGTGGAGGGACGGGGCAGGTTGGTATGGGGTTAGGAGGTCACAGACGTAGGGGGAAGCATTGGATGGCTTTGAAGATGAGGACCAGGATCTTGAATTGTATCCTCTGTTTGATGGGAAGCCAATGGAGTCAGGCGAGAATGGGGGTGAGGACACAGGCTGCAGAGTTCTGGATGATCTGCAGCCTATGGAAGCCGACAAGTAGGGAGTTTGCGTAGTCAAGCCTGGATGTTATGAATGCGTGTATGAGGGTCTCGGTGGCCTGTGGTGTGAGACAGTGGCAGAGCCGGATGATATAGCGGAGGTGGGGAAAGGCAGAGCGGGTCATGGCACGGATGTAGGGTAGAAAGTACAGTTGAGAGTGATAGCATCACCATCCACGGATGCACACTCCAGGTTCTGGACTGGCTCAGTGAGATGCAGTGTGCATCCTTGGATGGTGATGCTGTCAGTGCCTGAGGTGTGGAGGCGTCGACAGGAGCCAATCAGGAGGGTCTTGGTCTTGTTGACGTTCAGCTGAAGAAAGTTGGCTCTCATCCAGGACTTGATGTCTGACAGACATTTTCCAGTTATATTAATCTTGTGTAAGACATTCTGTCAGCACAGCAGTGATCCCGGAGTCAAGGGTGGAGGTAGACAGGTATAGTTGGTTGTAATCCACATGCAAGTGGAAATTGACTCCATGTCTGCGGATAATGTCACTAAGAGGGAGCATATAGATATTGAAAAGGAAGGGACTAAGGACCTTGGAGAGGAAAGGGAGGTTGGAGATGGAGCATAGATGGGTCAGGGGGGGTTTTTGAGGATAGGAGTGATGACAGCTGTTTTTAATGGGATGAGAACTGTACCAGTGGACCGGGAAGGGTTTACGATGTCTGTGAATAGAGGGGCAAGGATGTGGAGCTGGGAGGAAAGGAGAGGGATAGGGATGGGGTCGAGGGAGCAGGTGGCCGGTTTCATACAGGTTATAGTGGTGGTGAGAGAGGAGTGGGAGACAGGTTCGAAGGTGTGGAGGGAGGGATGGTTAGGGGCTGGGGAAGGAGGGGGAGATGGGGAGGGTATAGCAATACAGTCAATTCATTTTACAGTATATTCTGTGAAGTGCTTTGAGACGTCTAGAAGACGTGATAAGGCGCTATATCAAATGCAAGGATTATTATAGTTTGTGGGACATTGCTGTGCAAATTAGCTGACGTGTTCACCTACAAAACACACAGTCATATCACTTTACAGTATACAGAAACAGGTTGAGGCATTGTCTCAATGACATGATAAAGGTACTATATCAAATGCAAGGATAATTATCTGTATTCTATAGTTAGGTTACACTTGCTTTCTTCAGCATTTAGTGTTGATGCCATAAACATATGCTTCTGCTGAATGAGCAAAAGTTAGTGTTTGAACATTGGTTTCAAAGGCTGATGTTTCAGTCAACAAAGAGTCAGAACAGGAGGTTGATTTGAATGATTGGGTCAAACAAATTTGTTTGGACTGATACCAAGGATTTCAAGCACTTGACATTGAAACAAATTATCTTGTTGGGCAGCTCTAGAGTTAACATACATTTTCTTACATAACAGGTTCAGTTATATAACGCAAATGTTCTCAGTATAAAAATAATAATGGAAAGAAAGCTAAACATTGGGAATAACAACCAGTCAATAGCAGGATTTGGGTAAAGGCATGGAAAAAGGCCTTACCCTCATTTTTACAAGTATAAAGCATACATGCCATAGGAATCATAGCAGTGAAAAAAACAGAACAAAATAAATCATGACTGAGCTTTCCATCGTTTTGTACCCTGGATTGAATAAACCACTTCGGAAAAAAACATGTTGACACATTTAGAATACTGTATATAATGCTGTATCTAAGTCATGTTGTCAACTTTATTTTGATCAACTGGGTGTGTAGCACACATGTAAACCCATCACCATACTTAAGAGTCTCCAAACCAAACCTAAGAGCTACACATATGTATGTTTTCTATTTGTCTGATGTGCATACCTTGTCCTGAGGGTAGCACTCTGCTTACCTAAATTCCTAAGAGTTTAGGTGCGGGTTGGCAAGAGCCAAGATTTAGAGAAGCTTGTGTGTATGTGCATGGGGGTACTGCTGGAGTTCAACTAACTAAAACCATCCAACTTGGTTTCGTTTTTCTTTTCCGTTGAGGTCTGTAATTACAAAGATTTATTATAGAATCTACACCCTAGAAACAGACCATTCAGCCCAAATAGTTGTTTTTTTAATCCTGAGCCTATACCTTCCCTAATCCCCTTCCCTCGCCTCCCATTTCCCTCTATTCCCTTTACCCTTGTGTACGTTGTGAAGTTTATATTTGAAAATATGCTTTATTGCTGCCAAACTATTTGAGTTCAAAGAACTTTGTGCAGTCGATGTCAAATTTGTGCTTTATTTTTTCAATTACCATTTGTTTACACTCAAAATATTGCTGAAGGCACTGTAGAGAGATCAATATGAACAGTACTATAGCAAGGTCGTGAGGACAAACTAGATCTAAACTGTCAAGATTATTTTACACCAGTAGCTGCATTGTTCAGATCCTGGACAAAAACATATTGATGAATATTTTCACAGGAAAATAAATATTAATAGGATTTTGAAGAAAGTGCTGAAGCCATTCGCAAAGAATCAAATCATACCTGATGTTGTACACTGAAAATGGCAGTAATATGTCTCTGTGGGCGATATTCAGTGATTATTTTTTCATAAATTATTTTGACTGCAATAGACAGAAGCTGAATTCACCATGTGTTGGTAAATATATGTTTATATTAACTGCTGAAGGGCAAACTTAAGTAGCACTGTGAAACTCATGAATTTGATATTTGGCAAGTGTAGCAGCAGCTTGGTATTTATTCTTGGCATAATTTATTCTTTGATAATGTTTCTATGACTTCATCTTAAACACCTTGGCTTCCAATATTTTTCAATTTCCACACAGAAAGAAGAAAGTGATTGACTGAACTATTTTCTACATTAAGGAAATATTAATGGAAAAATGATTGTAACTCAAACTAATCCATTAATAAACCAATTTTAAGTGGTTTAAGAAACATTAGATGTATTTAATGAAGATAACAGCCAGAAACCCAATTTTATCCATATGGGATGCAAACAAACCTGTAAGTCTCCCATCTGAACTCTTTACCATATTGCATCATGTTTTCAGCCTGACTGAAAAATACAATAATCCTTCCATCTGAAATATATAGTGAATTCACTTTACAGTGTGTTCTGTGAAGCGCTTTGGGACGTCCTCCCGACGTGAAAAGCGCTATATCAAATGCAAGGATTATTATTATTATTATAGTACCTTTCACATCAGGGAGATGTTTCAAAGCACTTCACATGTTTTCCATAAAATAAAGTCAAAACAAAACAAAATAAAAAACAAATTGGACTTGAATGGAGGATCAATGCTAGTGTCTTTTATCTGGAATTGGGTTCTTAGTTAAATAGTTAAAAATATTATGTAGAATCTAAAGTATGAAAACAGACTGTTCTGCTCAAATAATCTGTGCTAATGTTTATACTCCAAATGAGCCGATACCCTTCCTGATCCCCTTCCCTAGCCTCCCATTCCCCTCAATTCCCTTCCTTGTGTAAGTTGTGAAGTTTATATTTTAAAATGTTTGCTTTATTGCTGCCAACGTGGCCAAACTATGTGAGCTCAAAGCACTCTGGGCAGTCAATGTCCAATTTATGCTCAGTTTGACTATTTTTTCAGTTACTGGTTGTTTACACTCAAAATATTGTTGAAAGCATTGAAGAGGTCACTATAAGTTGACCTACAAATAGCAAAGTCTCATTGCTATTTTCCAGTTACATTAATCTTGTGTAAGATATGAGGTGTTTATCTTCATCAATAGCTCCATCTGCTGGACACATGGTGTTTATAGGTGATAGCATCTTAAATGTAAATTCTCTTTTTCCCTCGAAGTTTAACAAAATAATAATCTTTGCATTTGCCTTACCATAAAGGCATTAATTTCTCAAAGTGCTTTACAGGTAATGTAAATTGTAGCAACTGCTACGAATAGGCAAATGTTCATGTTCAACAATGAAATTAGTTTCAGGTTCAACAATAAAATTAAACCCATCTAAAACCCTCCAATCTCTTTAGTAATTAAATGCAGGAAGCCTTTTTGTGGATTTGGGTAATTAAGTAGACTCACACTGAGTTTACACGTTGAGTCTATACAGTATATTACAGTATTCATTCTGTGAATTGTTTTGAGAAGCTAATAAAGTGTTATGTAAAATGCAAATTTTACATAACGCTTTTATTTATTCTCATCTACTGTAACTTAATTTCCATCAATCTCTGAATCACTTAACTAGTGATGTACAAAAATGCCCTGAATCAATTTACAAATTGAAATTGATTAGAAATGAACAACAATTACTATTGTTGAGTCAAACCGAATATTACAGACTCTAACATGATCACATATGGTTTACCTTTGTTGTATTGAAGCACATTCCTTGCCACAAACATGACCGTCTCTTTTTATAATCACAACGGATTCCTTCCGCTATATGACCGTTGCTTTTTATATTAACAAAAATCAGTCAGACGGGTGTCAAGACACATGCGGAAACCCATCCAAAACGCGTCCAAACCAAGTTGAGATTTCCACGCATCCCACCTCCACGCAGAAATCCCAGGGATACATTGCTGGAACGGGAAGCGCACTCTCTCCCTGGAGGGACGCATCCTGCTTACCTAATTCCGCAAAGTGTTAGGCGCAGGTTGGCCAGAGCCAAGACTCGGGGGACCCCCTGAGCGTGTGTAACCGGTTTTGGCCGGAGTCTAACCAGCTCAGAGCCACGTAGCTTCGCCACTGATGTTGCCGCGCAGCAAAAGCGTTCCCGCGGCGCGTCGTCAGGACCTCCCTATGGGTTCAGGGCTTTGGTTTGCAGGGTTTCCGGGAGCCGCTTTTCTGCTTCTGTTTGGTTGCCTTCTGGCGGCGAGATTCCCGATGCCCGCGGCTGAGTTGCGCTGGGGTTGGTCGGTTGGATATCTGACGCCCGCAGAAACCCCCCCCACCGCCCCGCCCGGCCCCGGCCCCGGCAACGCGTCTCAATCCGACAGCGCTCCCCGTAATACCAGACACAATCCTCACACTTGATAAGAACGCCTCATCACGTCGTCCAGACGTCTCAGAGCGCTTTGTACAGGGGATATTGTAAAGTGTAGTGACTGCATGTTTCGTGGGCGAAAGGCAACGGCCGCAGAGCGCGCGGCAACGTCCCACGAACAGCCGTCGACTGACGCCCCCCCCCCCCTCACCCCACGTGAGTGAGGCGAAGCCGTTGCCGAGCCAGAGTGAGGCTGAGGGCGGAGCTGGCCGGAGCGGGTCTCGCGAGGCGGCGGTTGGTTGGTTGGTTGGGGGCGAGGGGAGCTCGAGCGAGGCAGGTAAACGGTCAGCGCGCGTGCGGCGCGGGGGTCAGCGGCTGTTACTGGTCAAACACACACACACATATGGTAGACTGTCGTTGCGTCCTCCCATTAAACACCCCCCCACCCTTTTCTCAGCCGCGCGGCGGGGTAGGGGACGGGGAAAGGGGGGGAAAAAAAACCAGCCGACTGCTGGTCTCTTTAACAGCAATGCATGGAGGTGCTCGTCGTGCCTTGACGGCGGTTTAATCGTTGGCGGAAGGGGACCCCCTCCCGCCGTGGAGCCGCCGTTCATGCGCTGAAGGCGGGCGGGCGGGCGGCGATGCTATCGTGCAAACCCCCCCCCCGTCACCGTCACCGCGTGGGGCTTGTGTCTGCCACGGCCTGTTCGGGGGGTGGCAGCTACACGCACTGTGTTGTGAGGTATTATTCGGGGTGGGGGTGGGGGGAGGGAGAGAGGGGGTGGGGGGGGGAGGGAGAGAGTGGGGGGAGGGGGGGGGATGGCATCCTCAGCAGTCGCATGGCGGTGGTCTCAGGACGCCGTTTTGCGTCTGTTGGTCGGCGCTGCTGTGCTCGTGTGCGAATACGATGTGCGGTGAGTGTGTAATTCTGTGTCAGCAGTAAAGGGTTTCACTGGGACCTGACTTCATTCGTGGCTGCAGATGTGCTTCCACCCCCCACACACACACCCCCACACACCCCCTCCCCATTGAAATCAGATCGGTGACACTCCTCCCTTCACTGAAGACCGTAACCATCTTTTCTAAATTTATCCACAAAATATAAAAAGTCCTGGCCTTTTTTTATCCCCTCTCTCTCTCGTTTTTGTTTCGGCGTCTATTTTTGGTGTCGACAAGTAGGGAAAGGGTGGGGGTTAACTTTGACACAAGTAAACCCGGGTAGATTCAGTCGACATCTTTCTCTCCCCCTCTCGTCTCGCTCGGAGTCCCTCTTTATCTCTGGATCTTTCTGAAATTCAAATTTTCTGCCTCTTTCTATGATTGTTTTCCACCCGGCATCGAACTATCCTCGAAAGTAGATAACTGCGATGTCTTTTATGACTACTATCTAATCTGTCGCTTCCTTTCAATATTTTAAATGCCTCAATCAAATCCCCCCCCCCCATGAACTTCTTTTACTCTTGAGGAATATAACCCCAGTCTAATTCAGCCTCGTATCACAGCTATAAGCAAGTCCCTTCAGTTCGTAAGAAATGCGAGACGAAAAAAGACCAAAGTCCGTCTAGTTTGCCTTCCACCTTCCTGGCGGTCGCATGCACCTATGTTCCAAACTACCTATATACTATATCCCATAATGTTATTCCTAAGAAAAAACTATTTAATCTGTGTTTGAAAGAATCAACACTTCCTGCTTCAACCATCTCTCTAGGGAGCCTGTTCCACAGGTTCACTGTTCGCTCACTGAAATAGTGTTTGCGTAGATATGTTCTGAATTTCTTCCCCTTCAACCGCAGGCCGTGTCCTCTGGTTTTGCTGTTCTGGACAAGTTGAAACAGTCTGTCGTGATGTATATTGTTTTGCTCCTTTAGAATCTTAAAGACAGCAATCATGTCGCCTCTCAATCTTCTCTTTTCCAGCGTGAACAAACCCAATATACTTAGTCGCTCCTAATAGTCCAGTCCAGTCAATCATTTTGGTTGCCGTCTTCTGTATCTTCTCGAATTTGTCAATATCCTTTTTTGTACTGTACACAGTTCTCTTAAGTATGAACTCACCAATGACTTATACAGTGGCAGGATTACCCCAGCTCAGGTATTGTTAGTCTTGTGAACCAAGCTAGTACTGTGTATCCTTCTGAAGATTATGTGGCCAAAACTGAACACAATACTCCAAATGAGGTCTAACAAGCATTGTATACGTGGACAAGTATCTCTTTATTTTTTATTTTCCAGCCTAATTGTAATAAGTGAAAGCAACCCATTTGCTTTATTGCTTTACCTTATCATGGACTTATGAACTACAACAAAAGTTTAGTTTCTGATATTTTAGAATCACAAAGTAATTTAGGCTACTATATTTTGAAAATAATATGTTGCGGGCTTGATCATCTGCTTCATTTGAAAAAAGTTCTTGTATTTGATATAGAGTCATTGGTTGTCAAAAAAACGTCTCATCTCGTTGGCTGAACCTCCAGCCACACATCCCCCATCTCCCGCTAACCTCAGGCTCCTACTCAATCTTTGAAAAAAAATTATTTGAGATGTTCTTCCTACATAAAAGGTGTTATAAGTGCAAAATTATTGTTCTAATATTAGTCAATCCTATTTATAATTTTGAAAACTTCTGTCCAATCACTTTGCATTCTTTTTTTTCTAAGGAAAACAAACCCAACTTCCTTTAGCTTTCCTTACAATTTTGATTTTTAAATCTCAGTTGCTTTGACACTCAGAGATAAACACACCACTACAAATCATTTGCAACAACTTTTGCTGAAACAGACCCATCATCAGGTTACTTTACACTAGAATAAATTATGAGCCCCTCATCACAGCATCAAACTGCTTTTTAAATGTGTCCACTTTTCCTGGCAACCTGTTCCAATTGTTGATTTATCCCCCCCCCCCCCCCCGACTAAAGAAAAATTTCCTGGTATCTGACCTGAAATTGCCCTTTACAACTTTAAACCTGTCCCCTCTTGTTCTATTGTCTTGGTGCTTTCTAAAGTATTGATATGGGTTTTCTGTTTCAGTCCCATTTAAAAATGTGTGCACCTCAATGAGATCCCCTTGGAATTGTCTTCTCTCAAGACTGGAATCCTAATTTACTTATCGTTGCTCTGACATTGGAGATCATCTTTGTTGCTGTCCTTTGCACTGCCTCTACAACCCCCTTGTGTTGCAATGACTAACAACACCATTACATTTGTATAACAGAGCTGTATGCAGTACACAAGGAGAAACTACTTCCATTGGCAGGTGGGTCGATAACCCAAGGGCACCGATTTAAAATAGTTGTTAAAAAGAAACCATAGGGGAGGTGAGGAGAAATTTTTTCACACAGCGAGTTGTTCGGATCTGGAATGTATTGCCTGAAAGAGCGATGGATACCGATTTAATAACAACTTTCAAGAGAGAAGTAGATAGATATTTGGGGAGGACACTTTTATAGGGCTGTGGGGAGAGCGCGGGAGAGTGGGATTAATTCTATAGCTCTTTTCAGAGAGCTGGCACAGACACGATGGACTGAATGGCCTCCTTCTGTGCTGTATAATTCTATGATTCTATGTGTGATATGACCAGAATATTATATGATTATGGACCCATATTCAACTGGTTTTGCAATCTAGTATTCTGATCACCATGTTTATTGCTGCCTCACTCTGTTTTGACAAAGTGAGCGATGAATTGACTAATGCCCCACATCTCTTTCAGTTTTCTCCTTGGCACGTTCTAAAGTGAAATGCTTGTTCGGGATACCATGCTTATCCGGAAAATTCTTTGGAAAACTTGATTATGCTTAATGAGGCGTTTGACCCCCTCCATACTTGGAGGTGATATTTAACTTACCCATCCAAATATCATTGGTTATATGGAATCAAAAGTATAGATGCACACATCATCTGTTAGTATATCCTTCTCAGAAATAAACCATCGCACTTTAGTAACCTGAATAGCCTCGATGCACTAAACTGTTGATATTTTTATCCAATTATTGAACTTAACCAAGTGAAGTTATTACCACAAATCCTTTTATGCTAATTCAATTACTATCCCTGGAATTTTTTTTTAATTTGCATTCCTTGGATGCCTACTTTCTAGAGGGTCATACTGTAACTCCAAAAAAAACTGTAAATTATGAGATTAGAAATTGTATAGTTTTATAAAAATATATTTTTATATTTTATATACATCTTTATCTTTACTTCCCATATTCAGTATGGGATATCCATCGATCTGCCTTTTAAGCATCCCTTATAATGTATACTGTATCTGTGCCCTTCTGGATCGTACATTCCTCATTCTCACAGCCTTTTGTGAAGAACAATATTTTGATCTCACTTCAATCTGGTTTAGCTTTAATTTTAAGACTATGCCCTCTTGTTTTGAAAATCTATGGCGCAGAAGAAAGACATTCAACACACAGCCCTTGTGTGTGTTGGCTATTTGAAAAAGTGATCCATACAATCCCATTTACCTGCCTTTCCCCCATGCCATTGCAAGTACTCCTTTCAAGGTATCTAATCAGTTCCTTCTTGAAAGCTAATACGGTTTCTGCCTTGACTACAGCACCTGGATTGGCATTCTCTCACCGTGCTTCTAACTAGCAATTTCGAAGCACGATATATAGTGATCATGTTTACAGAGAGCTGATAAGTCGTAGATATCATCTGTCTTATCCAGAATGATGTAATTAGTGAAATATATTGATTTTATACAATTTTCTCTGTTCCTAAGTATTCATTCTTTCCCTTTTAATCTTCCTAATTAACTTATTTCCATCTGATTTAAAAAAAATCCTTTTAAATGTTTTTAGTATTTTTTTCTTTAATCTTGGTTTCCATTCCCACCTGGTTTTGTTCCCAGGCTGATCTCAGCATATTTATCACAGATGTCGTAAATTCTAGATGCAGATGAGAGTAACTTTGTGCCAAGTATTTCCTGCAACAGAAGGTTGTTTTCACCTAATATCTCAGTAAGGCTGAATACAGTTTTACAACTTAATCCTTTTTTCTATTGCACATAACTATGCCAAAATATTGCATTGTAAAATATTCCTTTTACTTCTCAAATTAGATAATTGAAGAAAATATTTGCATTTGGTATTGTATTCATGAAAAATTTTGGTCCTAAGAATAAATAAATTAGTTAAACTAACTAATTAATAGTTGCAACGTCTTTCCGACTTGAAGGGCACTATTACAAGTGTAATTTGTTGTTGTTGTTAACAATTGAAACAAATCTTATTTTGGCAGAATCCTATAGCCAAATAATATTTGTAAAAGTGTAAAGATACATGTGGGATCACTTGCCTCTTTGGGATCACTGCTTTCAAATATTGTTTAACCCTTCATGGTTATTAGACATACTAACAAAATTAATTTATTGGTCAGTTGAATATCCGATGCACACAGAATCCATCACTGAGTATTCAAACTAGAGCGATAGTATAATAATAATCCTTGCATTTGATATAGTGCTTTTCATGTCTTCTAGACGTCTCAAAGCGCTTCACAGAATAAACTGTAAAGTGAATTGACTGTATATTTATGGGTGAAATTGTGTATGTATGCTGCCTCCACGTAGAAATTTCCCTGTGTCTGAAATGGAATGCACACTTAATTCATAAACCTTGTTTATCACTTACTAATTAATTTCCTGCAAATCCAATGCTTGCTGGTAAGTGCGCATGTGGACACGTCACCCCACATACGCTTACCAACTGTAATGACGAAGTACACATATGTGTTTACTGGCTGCATTGAACTAAGCATGTGCAGTGTAGATTATTGATTACGTCGGATTGTATACGATTTATACAGTTTGCCTGCAACTCGGACTTCGCGTAAATCATATTAAATGTTATGGTCCTTACTGATACGATTTGTGTGAGTTTTCCTGTATGTCATGATTTTTTGGTCAGCATGATGTCTTTAACATCTGCAGAATACTTAAGATTACCCAAATCAAACAGTTTCCTAATTTCTAAAATACTGAGAATTTCTATGCATACCACCAACACATGGAAATTCCAATGTATTTGAATAGACTGCACAGTATCACCCCAGAGGGAAACATCCTATTTAATTCCAGAGTTTTAGGCGGAGCTTGCAAGAGCCAAGGCTTGGAGACACCAGAGGGCGTGTTGGGGTACTGCTGGAGTTTAATCAACTAAAACCATATAGTTTGGCAGATGGAACCATTGAAAGCTCCGTCTGCCAAGCTTTCCTGTTGCTTGTCCTGCTAGGACTACCTACTCATTAGGGCTTTGGCTTGCATTGTTAACAGGAGCAAAGTAGGAAGGCTCAGGAACAACAACAACAACAAGATTCCATTTATTGAGCGCCTTTCACGTCGGGAGGACGTCCCAAGGCGCTGGCCTGTTGAGACCACCACCGTAGAGAGTTGATTTGATTCAACATTAATATATTATATATGAATATCTAAACATTGTTGTGATAGATAAATCCACCGAGGGCAAAATTGATGAGAGAGAATAATCAAGACAGATTATAAAAGGCAGGGAAGCAGAATTAATAAGGATTTTTTTAAAAACTGAATATCACTAATAAATACATGTTGTTTTGGTGAAGGTCGATCGGTAAAAACTATTTTTGTCTAAATTTTAAAAAAATTCTAGTTTTTCTTCCTATTGGCATATGTCTCTCTCCTGCTAATAGGCCATCTTCTTGTTGGGTGCAGTTCCATAGGCGCTGGTTCTTTCTGGTAACCGATCCAAATGGCTATGGTTCACTTGCGAACCTTGGGAGTGCGTATCGATTATAGAGGGCATCACAGCTGAGCCTGACCTCTCCTCAGCTGTTTGCCACACATGCACACACACACACAACCAGCAGAGGAATTCTGACTGACTTTTCTAACCATGGAAAAGCCAGCAAAATATGATGCGTATGCATCCAGAGCCCACAGCAAGGCAGATTTCAGGATGCATGCACCTTTCCAGAACCGACATTGTGGTTTGGGGAGGAGAAAATCGAGTAGATTTTTTCAAAAAAAACATTTTCCCCAGAAAAAAATACCTTAAAATGCCTGCTTTGTGATTTTTTTTTGATTATCCTTGAGAGTTAAGTTAGAAAGGAAAGCTGAAAATATTTTAATTTCTGTGTTCAGCATTTAAAAAAGGAAATTCAATTCGCCCTTTTTTTTCTTGATCCTGATCTAAGATTACTTTCCCTGTCAGCAGCTTGAGGATAGATGTTATGCCCATATGAATTATCTCAGTTATGTAAGGATATTTAATCAGAAATATAGTCGCATACGCGATTTTAAGATATTTAACCTGTTTAATACAGAGGAATGTTATAAGAACAAATTAAATAATATGTAACTTAATAATGATTGCATACAATACTTTGATTGTAATCTGATTAAAGTGAATTGCATATATCCTGTTTTTCTTTAAAAAAAGTAGCCCTCCCTTATAGTTTTAAAACAAAAAACTGAAAAAAATTGATTACGATACTGTACACCATGGAAGCCACTTAGAAATGATTCTGTATGTAAACAACATGATGTGCTGTTTGATAATAATGTATGATATTTCAAACATTTTTAATATTTTATGTTTTATCCTAAAACAATTATGCATGCAAAACCATTTGTTTATTGACTTCAAAAGAATCAATGGAGTTTGTATTGTAAAGAGATTGCATTACTGTTGCCATTTTAGGTGAGGAAGTTATACTATGTAATGAATGACCATGTTTCATGCAGAATTGAACTGTTTTCTACTTTTGTGGAAGGCTATTGCAAGTGTCAGCTATGCACTGCATTCCACTTGTTGAAAATGAACTGAACTTCCCTGAAACAGAGTCATTACTGCTATATATTTTGGTCAAATCCTTAAATCTGTCTTTTCCCTATTTGGCACACTTTATAATGTATGTAAGGCGATTTGACATGTTCATCCTACATGAAAGGTGCTGCATAAGTACAAGTTGATGTTACTGTTACAAATCATTTCTTATTTAGGGTTTATTTAAAAAAATGTAAACCTGTGTCCAATTTTCAGATTTTGACCACACAGATTAAGCTTTACATTGCAATAACAAATGGCATATTTATTGCATTGCAGTTTATGGAAAGTCCAGTTGTTTGACTAGAAATGTATTTACCTGTAATTGAAGTGCAATTTTTAACCTTTCCATTTTTAGAAGGAAGAATGTAACCCCATTGAGTGTTTCCAAGAATAGTTCCTGGACTGGTACGACGAACACTATCTACAATCTTTAAAAATGTGCAAGGATTAAAATATACAGACGTTACGGTAACAAATTGAAGTGCATTTGGCAGCTAATAGTACATCATCAATAAGTGAGATTTTAGAAAGAAGTACTATCCCATTTGATTGCATAATTGTGCAGAAACTTTGTGTGCACTTTGGCTGACACTAAAAGACCAAAAGTGCAGGCCTGAATAGTCATGTCTATTCATCGCCTAAAGAATGATGCTCCCAGGTTCTTCGTTGGATCTCAAGATGGAGAAAGCGATGAACACTTGGATCAAATGAAGATTGAACATTTTTGTTATGAGGAGGATGGCGATGATGATGAATATGATTCTGTGAGTACTGAGTATATATCTGTGGTTTTTAAATTTATGTGTAAATCCAGTGTTTATATGCAGTGTTTGAAACAACTTTAATATTTTTTTTAATTCAGTACTTTAGAGCTGAATAATGAAACTTATATTTTAATAATAATCCTTGTATTTGATATAGAGTCTTATCACATCTTCGAGAGGTCTCAAAGTGCTTCACAGAATATATTGTAAAGTGAATTGACTGGATATTTTGTGGGTGAAACGCGGCAGCCAATTGAACACAACAGTGTCCTACAAACAGTAGTGGATTAAGTGACCAAATTATTATTTTTAGTTATTTTTGATCGGATTACTACCCCTAGAAAAACCATCCACCAATCGACTAATAGCTGGGTTCCTATTTACTGCTAGGTGAAGAGAGGCGTGTGGAGTAAGGAAACTTGCCCAACGTTTTGCCCTGTCGGGAATTGAACCCAGGTCCTCTCGCTTGTGAGGCGAGTGCCCTAACTGCTAAACTACAGGATTCCAAATGAACTGTAAATCTTTGTGTTGATCACCTATTATAATTGTATAATTATATAAATATAATTTGTATTTTCCAGTCCAGCATATTTTTTATTGTGTACTTTTCTATGGTGAAGTTTTTATTTAGTTTTTGGGGGAATGGAATTATGTGGAAACGTTTTGATTGTTTATTTGCATTGTACTTGTTTTGTCCGACAGCCACCAGAAAGGCAGATCGTTGTTGGAATTTGTGCCATGGCCAAGAAATCCAAATCCAAGCCAATGAGTGAGATTCTGAGCCGACTTTGCTTGTTCAAGTACATTACGACTGTGCTATTTGAAGAAGATGTTATATTAAATGAGCCAGTGGAGAAATGGCCACTTTGTGACTGTCTTATATCTTTCCATTCAAAAGGTAGAAGCAATTCAAATTCAAGGTGTTTATAATACTACTTAATCCTTTGAGTGCAGAAGTTAATTTGATTGTTTCCATATGCATTCTGTTATGCATGACATGGGGTCAACTTCCACATGTATGCGGATGATACCCAACTCTATCTCTCTGCCTCCAGCCTTGACACCAAGACCACTGCTGTGCTGACAGAATGTCTGTCAGACATCAAGTCCTGGATGAGAACTAACTTTCTTCAGTTGAACGTCAACAAGACCGAGGCTCTCCTGATTGGCTCCTGTCAGCATCTCCTCACCTCAGGCGCTGACAGTATCACCATCCATGGTGCACACTCCACCTCACTGAGCCAGTCCGGAACCTTGGGGTCTTGTTTGATCCTCAACTACCCTTTCTACCCCACATCTGCGCCATGACCCACTCTGCCTTCCCCCACCTCCTCAACATCGCCCGGCTCTGACACTGACTCACACCGCATGCCGCCAAAACTCTCATACATGCTTTCATTACATCAAGGCTCGACTATGCAAACTCATTGCTTGTCGTCCTCCCCAACTCCTCCCTCCACAGGCTGCAGATCATCCAGAACTCTGTAGCCCGTGTCCTCTCCTGCACTAGGCTCCGTGACCCTATCACCCCCAACCTTGCCCAACTCCACTGGCTTCCCATCACACAGAGGATACAGTTCAAGATCCTGGTCCTCATCTTCAAAGCCCTCCACGGTCTTGCTACCTCTTACCTCTCCGACCTCCTAACACTCTACCATCCAGTTCACTCGCTCTGCTCAGTGGGCTCCGGCCTGCTTTACCGCCCCCCCGCCTTGCTCGCCCCATTATTGGCGGGCGGGCCTTCCGCCACTCTGCACCCACCCTCTGGAACCATCCTGCAGTCCCTCCATCTCGAGCCCGCCCTAGCCATCTTGAAGACCCACCTCAATGACCTCCGCTTCAACTGTGCTTTCAATCTCCCTGCTTCCTTCCCTGCATCCTCCCCCACCCTGACCCCCAGGTCGGGTCCGTAACTCTGTCTGTCCAGCGTCTTGGGACGACCTCCCGAGGTGAAAGGCGATATACAAATGTAATTTTGTTGTTGTTATTGGGTAGCATCATTGCATTTGTTGTAGAGCTTTATCACGTCAAATTGTCTCAAAGTGCTTCACAGTAATGACGGTAAAAATGTAATAAATATGTATTTTTAGATGAATGTGGCAGCCAATTTACATACAACAATGGCCTGAAACCATAAATGAAGTTACAGAATTTGAAGTTTACATTTTCTTTAGAAAAAGTGCCTTGGAGCATTGAGGATTATTTGTATGAATCAAATCTCTTAAGTGTATTTATTAGTATTAATAATAATAGTCCTTGAATTTGGTATAGCGCCTTATCACGTCTTTGAGCTGTCTCAAAGCGCTTTACAGAGTAAACTGTAATGTGGATTGACTGTATATTTTGTGGGCAAAACAGGGCAGTCAACTGTGCACAGCAGTGTCTCACAAACCGTCTGGATTGAGTGATTTTCTTTTCAAATATTTTTTTTTTAAAAAGGATTATTACCCATGGAAAAGCAATCTGCCAATCGATTAATAGCCGGGTTCCTACTTACTGCTAGGTAAACAGAGGCGTGTGGAGTAAGGAAACTTGTCCAATGTTTGGCCCTGCCCGGAAATTGAACCCAGGTCCTCTCGCTTTCAATGCGAGTGCTCTTACCAATAAGTTACAGGAGTCCATATTAGATGTGCATGACAAACAGAATATTTGTGTCTTTTTTCAGTCCTTTAATAACTTTATTTAGTCAAAGTTCAAGTATAAAGTCTTACATGATCATTTTTTTTTCCTTTAAGGATTTCCATTGGACAAAGCAGTTGCTTATGGAAAACTCAGGAAGCCATTTGTTATTAATGATTTGAACATGCAGTATCACATTCAAGACAGGTGAGTTCTCTCAGCAATGAGTTACTGAAGTTAAAGGTTTCTCTTTGTTTAAATAATCTGTAGCTGAAGGGTTTAAAACAATTGAGCACAGAATCAATAAATGTAAGTCAAACATTAGGTTAAATAAAACAATTTTTCTTATTTGCTGACAATGATTATACTGTATTTCCCGCTCCACAACAAAATAAACTTTCATTCACTCGTAACACTTTGAATTAGAACTTATGTTATGAGATTGAGACTAACAGACAAAATTCAAAAAGATATTTGTATAGTTTGTAAAACCTAATATAGTATATTGAAATATTTGAACTCCATGGTCAATGTTTTGCATGTATACAGTAATAATAATAATAATAATAATAATCCTTGCATTTGATACAGCGCTTTTCACGTCGGGAGGACGTCCCAAAGCGCTTCACAGAACACACTGAAGTGAATTGACAGTAAACTCCAAGGGAAAAAGGCTCAGTAACAGGTTATCCATAGTGGTGAATTAGGCATATGTATAAATACATACAGTAAATGCAGCCAGGATATTGACAGCATGATGACTTAAGTGGCAGTGACAAATTAAACTGGACCAAATTATCAGGAGTTCACTGTAGTTTGTTTCTTACTGATTATATAATCTTACCTGGGATAAATGCGGTTGTCTTGCTCATTGTCTACTTCAATATGAGAAATTTTCTAAGAGTTAACTATGTATTATAAAAGTAACATGATATGAAAATTGATAGCCTATCTAATTGCTGTTCTATATAAGTCTTGGCTTACAAAAAATAATCAAATTGTTTAAAAAGTATCTTTAAATGCTTTATTTTATGATGTAACATCTCATTTTTATATACAGGAGAGAAGTTTATCATATTTTGCAGGAGGAAGGAATTGAGCTGCCACGCTATGCAATACTAAACCGTGATCCAGATAAACCTGATGGTACCGATTCTCTAGTTATAAGTTTTATTTGTTAATTCTATTGGTTTCCATAATGGTAACACAAACATACCATGATCTGATTACAATGGGTGCAATTGCAAATATTTGGAATTTGTTAAATACTTTAAAGAAGAGAGAACATTAAGCGGCGTCTCCTTAAGAATTGAGCTGACTCCAGGGTGATGTACTTGGCAACTGAATATCATAATTGTGTCAGATCTCTGTGGCAGTCTCAGTTGGCTGGTTCCTGAGCCAGGCAGATCTGCAGTACTCCAGGACAGTGCTGATAACAGACCAGTCATCCTGGTTCATCGGCCAGGACTTAGAGGGACAAGGGAGCAGGGATTCTTCCCATTTGACTCCTATTAACCCTGCAAGCCCAAGATTTGGGGGTAGGGTGGTGCTAGTTGATAATCAGCGGAAATCTTGCCAGACAGGCTCTAAATGGCAAGCTTTCAGTTTTAGCTGGTTATACTTCAGCAGTACCCAATGCATACTCTTGCATCCCCAGTCCTCGGTTCTTACCAACCTGCGATTAATATTGTCTGGAATTAGGTATGTAGGATACTTCCCTCTAGAGGAGAGAGAGAGTACTTGTTCCATTCCAGACACAGAAATTCAACAGGTGTAGCTGGCATATGTATGTTGAACTTCATCTGGTTTGTATACCCTTAAAGCATAGTGATGGTTTTCCGCAGATATCATACTGCTGGCTGACCAAACAAAATGCAGAAATAAGATGTATTCTAGCTCTTGAGGACTGTTCTCTCTTGTACTTTGTTATTTCTTCATATCAGTAGCCTCCTAATCCTGATCACATCTGGGTGCCTTTCTTTTCTTAGAATGTAATTTAGTGGAAGGTGAAGATCATGTTGAAGTCAATGGAGAAAATTTTCAAAAGCCATTTGTCGAGAAGCCAGTGAGTGCTGAGGACCACAATGTTTATATATATTATCCTACATCTGCTGGAGGAGGGAGCCAAAGACTTTTCCGAAAAGTATGTTTTGCTGTATTAGCTGACAATTACAGCATTGAAAGGGATGTTCTGTAGTATTTTGTTGATAATTATAGCATGCAAAAATGCAGGAAACGATGACTTGAGCTTGTTTTTAAATTGCTATTGATGCCAATATGCAACTTGGCACACACTGTATTTCAGATGCTATTGGTTAAGCCCAACTGATTCAGCATTTGAAACTCATTGGAAGCAACTTTTCTCTGCCCATGAAACTTTGTATATGCAAAGCATTTTATGCTGTCCTAACCCCTTATAAGAGATTATTTTCCCCTATAGATTTAGAATGATTGCTCTGAGTTAGAGAATGCTACAGGAAAGAAAACAATTGGCCTAAATTTTCTTTCAGTGCATTTTGAAATTGTAAATACAATATTTTGTGAAATGCTGCAATCCAGATAATTTACAGAAGTGAGATCTTGCAGTTAACAAAATTAGTTGGGTGGATATTTGAATCCTTTAAAGACTCACATCTTTCAAATTGGCTTCCAATCCCATGCTGTTTCTGGTGTACAGAGGGTGTCATCTACATTTTACCCCTTGGCACTGTCATCATGACTTCACTTCCTCATGTGTTCTGATGATGCTGAACTGTATTTCTGCCTCTAAACCAATTACAAGGCTGTTACTGATGTGTGCTTTTCTGACATCAGGTCTCACCTGAGTCGTAACTCTCTACAATTAATGTAAGCAAGATTCAAGTCACCTTGTTTATTTCTTGCTAGCAGCTATGTGTTTCTGATTCTGATTCTATCAACCTCTCTGAGTGCTGAACTGGTTGGTGCACTACCTTGGTTATTTTGTATGATTCTGACTGAATTGTGTTGCGAAAGTTTCTCTTGCAAAGTTTGAATGTTGAGAACTCTAATGTTTTGCAAAGTTACATTAAACATTATGCACTCAGCTATGCTTTTGAAATCTATAGGCACAAAATAATGGAAATGCTACTGGCTTTCTTTCCAGATTGGCAGCAGAAGCAGTGTCTATTCTCCTGAAAGCAATGTTAGAAAAACTGGTTCTTATATATATGAGGAGTTTATGCCAACGGATGGGACAGATGTAAAGGTACGGAGATTAATTAGACTACTGTAAATCCTATTTTCTGCATATTATGGTGCATGTTCGATTTACAAATATCAAAAGGCTTAAAGCGTTTTAAGTGCACAACAGATTTTTTGATTAATCATCCAAATTTCAGAAGTCTTTGAATGGAGTCCTGTAGCTCAGAGATTAGAGCACTCGCTTTGCAAGATGGACAACTGGGTTCGATTCCCGGCAGGGTGAAATCTTGGACAAGTTTCCTTACTCCACACGCGCCTAATAATAATCCCTCAAAAAAAACAATAATAAATTGGTCATTTCAATCCACGAACGTTTGTGGACCCTGCTGTGCGCAATTGGCTGCCGCATTTCGCCCACAAATATACAGTCAATTTGAGACGTCTGGAAGACGTGAAAAGTGCTATATCAAATGCAAGGATTATTATTACAATAAAAATGCTTGCATTAGGTGAACATAGTGAATTTATTGCCCACATTTTTTGCTGTTTTTATCGAGTAAGATTCAAGAATTTCTTTTAAAAATCTTAGATGTTGCCAGGCAACTTAAACTTAATACACTGTATTGTCATTGTATCTGTCTCAGAGATAAACTGAATTTGAAAGCAGATCATATCATCCTTTTCAATGTACACATCTGTCAGCTGCAACAAAGTTACATAGTTTATTTTTAAATTTGTTGTCAAGGTTTACACAGTGGGGCCAGATTATGCTCATGCAGAGGCTCGCAAATCTCCTGCTCTTGATGGCAAGGTTGAGCGAGACAGTGAAGGAAAAGAAGTTCGGTATCCTGTTATTCTCAATGCCAGAGAGAAGTTAATTGCTTGGAAAGTTTGCCTTGCTTTTAAGGTAGGAGAATAAATTATAAGATTGCAGTTCAATATATTCAATTGTCATCTTTGCCAAGTGCTTGGAATTGTTGTGTTTTCTTTGGCTGTACTAACAATCATCAGCAATGAACCTTTGTTAGGGTTATTCTCGGGAATACGATCAAGGTTCAAAGATGAAGAGCAGTTATATTTTTACTCATTGAATGTGAAATTTAATTATTACTGATTTAGACCAAAAAGTTTACAATGTGGCATAAAATTAAAGTTAATGTTCGTTCCTTATCTAATATTTTGGAGTACAAAATATTAACCTTGGAAATGAGTTGCCATTCTAAAGGTTCTTCTTACTCTCTTCAAATTGGCTCATTAATACATTTTTAAAAATTATGTGGTGTTTTCTTTTGTTTAAAGTTATTGAGGTTCAATTCGGAAAATTATAATACCACCAAAGTAAGAAATGTCATCAGAAGGTGAATGGATTTTTCTTAAGGAGCACTTTCTTATGCTTAGTATTAGGTTTGATGCAAATTTCATATTGATCTCGGACTGTTCTTAAATCAAATGTAAAATCTTTAATTTTGATGGCCAAGACATTGATGCAAATTTTGTTGAATTTGCTAAATACTGTCATCAAACTGTTGATTTTATATTGTAGTACAACCTACAGCTATGATCTTCTCATGACAGTTATTTAAAGAAACTGCATATTTACATTGTTCTGATGGATTGATTCAACTGTATCTGCACTTATTTGTTGACAGCAAACTGTTTGTGGCTTTGACTTGTTGCGTGCCAATGGCCAATCGTATGTGTGTGATGTCAATGGCTTCAGCTTTGTGAAGAATTCTATGAAGTATTATGATGATTGTGCAAAGATTTTGGGGTAAGGTTTGTGTTCATTCCTAGCACTGCTATTGCTTTGAAGAATGATTTAGAAAATTATTACCAATTTTAATTTAGAGTAAGATTGAGCTTGTTGAATCTAAAGCAAAGATTAACAAATTGAATTTAATAATTTCAATATCTATACAGTAAACATCTCAATATAATATGTCTACAGTAATATGCTGGTACCATTGGTATGTCACTTCTGAATGATTTTGTTGGATGATATCTTTGCCAAAAGGGAAGATGAAAAAGATCTAAAGATATTAGTTGACATCACTTCCATGTCATTATCAGTGTGAGGCAGCAATAAATAAAGTAATAAACAAGACTGGGCCAAATATTGCCAAATCAATTGAGTTCAGATCCATCCACAAGTCGCACTCAAACTGTCTACTGCTTTGCTCAGGCTGCATCTCGGATACTGGTTGCAGTCTACCACTTAAGGGAGCTGCCAGGCCCGAAAGGCAGTGCAGAGAAGAGTAATAATATTAATCTTAAATAATCTTTGCATTTAATATAGTGCCTTATCACCTTATTGCGCTTCACGGGATATCCTTTAAGGTGATGTGACTATGTATAATTTGTGGGTGAATACAAGAGCAAAAAGTGCAAGCATTGAACCACAAGTAGCCGTGGACTGAGTGACCAATTTTATTTGGGGATTCTTGGCCAGGACACTGGGATAAGATCACTTTCCTTCTCTTAATAAGGATGATCCCCAGAATTAAAGCAATGTATTATGATCAACAATTAGACAAGTTAGGGCTCTTTTTGAAAATCAGTTTTGAAAAGAGACATATCATGGCAGACCTTATAGACATATCTAAGAATTTAAGTGGAATTCAGAAATCAAACTCGGAATAGATTTTCCAGATAGCAGGTGAAAAGCATACAGTTTTAGGGTTGCAATGGGCAATTTTAGGACAGGCCAGGAAGTATTTCTTTAGCGACTGAAACAGGTTACCAAGAGGGTGGTTGAGGCCAGGAAATCAGATTCATTTAAAATGCAGCTTGATATTGTGATGGAAGTTCTGGAAAGTTGAGATTAAATGGGTTGAAGGACCTTCTGCAGCCGAACTCTTGTTATCAAATGAGAAATTGTATTTCAGAAAGATAAAGGCACTTTGCACATAATGGCCACTAGATGGTGTCTGTGGTAATATTTAAAAAATTCTAAATCATTTTGCACACGTCATATAAACAATGTGTTGGCTGGTTAATGCTATATTGCAAATGCATCACTTAACACAGTGTGTTCTGTATGCTAAATCGTCCACTATATTTCTCAGATTTTTTGGTTCTTTTTATATAAATGCTTTTTTCTTTTACAGAAATCTTATTATGCGAGAGTTAGCTCCACAGTTTCAAATTCCATGGTCTGTTCCCACAGAAGCTGAAGACATTCCTATTGTACCTACCACATCTGGCACAATGTAAGTCAGTTACAGATGGGTAATATACAAAGCAACAATGATTAGTAGTCATGGATTAAATGAAGTATTACATTTAACAAATTACATTTATATAGCGCCCTTTCACTTCAAGAGCACGTCCCAAGGCGCTGGACAGTCGGATCTGCACCCAAGCTGGTGGTTGGGATCAGGAGGGGTGGATGATCTGCAGCCTGTGGAGGGAGGAGTTGGGGAGGCCGACAAGCAGGGAGTTTGCGTAGTCGAGCCTGGATATGATGAATATGTGGATTAGGGTCTCGGATGCCTGGGGCAAAAGACAGTGGCGGAGCGGGTCATGGCACGGATGTGGGGATGAAGGATACTTGAGGGTCGAACAGGATGCTGAGGTTCCGTATTGGTTCCGTGAGGTGTAGAGTGCATCCATGAAGGGTGATGCTGTCAGCGCCCGAAGTATGGAGGCGCTGACGGGAGCCTCGTTCTTGTTGACATTCAACTGGAGGAAGTTTGTGTGTCATCTGCATGTCCGACAAGCAGTCTGTGAGGGCAGCAGTGGTCCTGGAGTCGAGGGTGGAGACGAAGAGATAGAGTTGGCTATCATCCGCACACATGTGGAAGTTTACCCCATGTCTATGGGTGATATCATCAACAACAACTTAATAATAATAATAATCCTTGCATTTGATATAGCGCTTTTCACGTCTTCTTGAAGTCTCAAAGCGCTTCACAGAATAGACTGTAAAGTGAATTGACCGTATAACTTGCACTTACATAGCGCCCTCCACACAGGGCAACGTCTCAGAGTGCTTAACAGATGCGGAGCCTGACTCCGAGCTGGGGGTGGGGGCGGGGAGGTAGGTGAAGAGGCGGTGGGGTGGAAGCATGATTGAAAAGGAAGGTTTTCAGGCGGAATTTGAAAAAGGACAGCGCAGGCGAAGCGGAGGGATTGAGAGGGAGTGTTCCAGAGCTTTGGGGCGTAGTGGCTGAAAGCGCGACCTCAAATGGTGGGGTGGAGATTGGAAGGAACAAGCAAAAGGCTGGTGTCAGTCGAGCGTAGGCTAGGTGGTGAATTGGAGAGTGAGGGGAGGTCAGAGAGGTAGGGAGGTGCCAGGGAGTGAATGGATTTGAACACAAGTGTGAGGATCTTGTAGTTGATCCGTTCGGTAATGAGGAGCCAGTGGAGCCTGGCCAGAACTGGTGTGCTGGGGGTACAGAATTTGGTCCGGTTAAGTATGCGGACAGCAGAGTTCTAGTGGAGCTGGGGAGTGAAGAGTGAGTTGGAATAATTCAAGAGGGAGGTGACAAACTCGCACACAAGGATTTCAGCTGCATTTGGGGTAAGGTACAGTCGGAGGCGGGCAATGTGGCAGAGGTGAAGGAAGGCGGTCCTGGTCAGGGACCGGACGTGGGGGAGGAAGCACAGTTGGGGGTCGAACTGGATGGCTAGGTTGCGCACTGGTTCGGTGAGTCTGAAGGAGAACCCAGGGAGGCAGAGGGGTTCAGATTGGCAGGAGTGAAGACATTGACAGGAGTCGAGTATGGCTTCCGTCTTGTCCACATTCAGCTGCAGGAACTTTGCGCTCATCCAGGCCCTGATGTCTGCCAGACAAGCTACTAGAACATCGGTATACATGGAGTCAATGCTGGAGGAGACAAAGTAGATTTGTGTGTCATGTCTGTGAATGACATTACAGGATCATATAAATGAGAAAAGAAAACGGTCAAGGATGGAGCCCTAGGTACCCCGCAAGTGACTGGGTGGGAGCGGGAGGAGAAACCATTTGCCAAGATGCAGTGAAGGCAGTTGGTTAAGTAGAACCCAAACCATGTGAGTGCGGTCCCACTAAGGTGGATGAGAGGAGAAGTGGTAGAGGAGGATGGCTGGTAGACTGTGTCGAATGCAGCAGAGAGATCCAGGAGGACGACAATAACAACAATAACTTGCACATATATAGGGCCCTCCACGCAGGGTAGTGTCTCAGAGCGCTTAACAGTGGCAGAGCCTGACTCCAAGCCAGGGGGAGGTGGCTGTAAGCACGGTTGAAGAGTTTTCAGGCGGGACTTGAAAGAGGGGCAAGGCAGAGGGATTGAGGGAGAGTGTTCCAGAGTCTTGGGACGTAGTGGCTGAAAGCATGACCTCCAATTGTGGGGTGGAGGATGTGAGGGCCGAGCAGGAGGTCATTGCCAGTCAAGTGGTGGATTGGGGAGTGAGGAGGTCAGAGGTAGGGAGGTATCAGAGTGAATGGATTTGAACATGAGAGAGGATCTTGAAGTCAATCCATTTGGTGATGGGGAGTCAGTGGAAACTAGCCAGAACTGGTGAGATGTGGGTACAGAGTATGGTCTGGGTCAGTATGTGGGCGGCAGAGTTTTGAATGAGCTGGATCTTGTGAATGGTGGAGCTGAGGAGACTGGCGAGGAGTGCTTTGGAGTAATCTAAACGGGAAGTGACAAACGCTTCTTCCAGGGGTGGAAAAAAATGGTGGTGGGCTTGGAAGAGGGGAGGGGATGCAGGAGGAGAGAGAGATGAGGAAATGGTCCGAGGTGGCCTTGTCCATGATGAACAGGTCGGAAATGTCAAGGCCATGTGTGATGATGAGATCGAGGGGGTGGCCATGGTTATGGGTCAGCAAATTCATGTGGAGGGTGAGGTTTAGGGAGGTGAGAAGGGCAGTGAAATTCAAGGAGGAGGTGCAATGGGAGTTAAGATGGAGATTGAAATCACCCATGATGAGCAGAGGGACAGGCATGAGAGGAGAGAGGAGGTTTAGGGGGTTTGGTAAATTAGGAGAATTTTGAGGGAGCGAGAGGAGGGATGGTAGAGGGTGAGGTGCTCAAAGGAAGAAAAACAGCCAGAGGGAAAGGGAGATAGATCAGCGGAAGCTTGGGATATGAGGGCCACACCACCGTCACTTTGGTTGGGGCGGGTGGGGGTGAGAGGGAGCAGGTCAGGGCGGCAGCCAAAACATACACGTAGAGACTGGGAGCTTGCAATCAGTGGAGCAGCATTAGCCCGCGGGCTGTGGGAGAGGGGGGATGGCGATCATGGCTTAGGTGCCAGAGACGAGGAGGGAAAGGAGGGAGGACAAGGTAGCAGAAGGATAGCAAAATTTACACTACAAATGTAGGCAAATCTATAAATGTAGATTTGTTGTTGTTGAGTTACAACCACTTGGCATGGTACTAGAAGTTGAAAAATAGCCATAGACTTCCCTTTGCTCATTATATAGCAGTGGAACAAAAGGAGTCAGACATCCTAATAGATGATAATAATAATAATCCTTGCATTTGATATAGCTTTTTATCACTTTGTCTAAACGTCCCAAAGGTACTGCACAGGTATTTTACTTTTAAGTAAAATGGCTTTGTAATTTGTAGGCCAATTTATGCACACCAGTGTCCCACAAATAGCCATGTAATGAGTGACCAATTTTATTTGTGGGATTGTTGGCTATTGGATCTTTAATGTCTACTAAAACAGACAGATGGGACCTCAGTTTAACATCTTGTCGAAGGATGGTACATCCAGCAATACAACACACCCACAGCACTCCATTTGAGTGTCAGCCTAGTTTAAAATCTCAATGTGGGGCTTGAATCCACATCCTGCACAGAAGCGAAAGTGTTACCAACTGGGCCATTCTGGCGCTCCATTTCAGGGTATGGGGAAAATATGTACAATAAAGAGGGCTGTTATTGAGTGTATTCGTTTACTTGCCCAAAGCACCCAAACAAACTAGCCTTATTTTAGCAGTCATTCAAGCAGAATGGTACTACTTCCTAGAACCTAAGTAATAATAATAATAAATAACAGTAATCCTTGCATTTGATACAGCGCATTTCACGTTAAGACGTCTCAAAGTGCTTCATAGGATATTCTGAAAAGTGTAGTGAGTGTATTTTGGGGTTTGAAAACCTGCATGCTCAGTTTCTGATTTTCTGTGTTGCTGAGTAGGATGGAGCTTCGATGCGTTATAGCAGTTATAAGACATGGGGATCGTACTCCAAAGCAAAAAATGAAAATGGAAGTAAGGCATCAGAGGTAAGACACTCTTTATACCCATTAAGAAGTAGTAAGTTTTTAATATTTTTACGTATATGTCATTTGAGCTTTTTCAGTAGATTTGTTTTTATATTGCATATCTGTTAAAGTATTGAATCATGTGGTTGTCATTTTCACTGCAGTTCAAAATATGTATGTATTGTAATTGTATGTTATAATGTACAATTTTAATGTTGTTTCCCACTTTGAATCTGTTAGGTTTTTTGACCTCTTTGAAAAATATAATGGATACAAAGAAGGAAAAATAAAGCTAAAGAAGCCAAAGCAATTACAGGCAAGATCATGCTTTATTAGAGCTTCCTGAAGGTGATGCATCACCATTTCACAGGTCTCAGAGACCCATAATTATGCAGTGTGATTTGTAGTCCTTTGAGTTAAATACTGTAACAGATCGGAAATAACAACTTGCATTTATATAGCACCACTCACGCATTTGAGTGTCAGCATGAAGGGATTTGAAAATGAATGTGAAGATGTTAAAAATGATACAATCAGCAACATGGAGTCAGTGGAGTCTGGCTAGAATTGATGTGATGGGTGCGATTGAAGTTAGTGTGGGTGAGTATGAGGGCAGCAGAGTTTTGGATCAGCTGGATCCAAAATATCATAAGCTTGGATGTCCTTCAAAAAAAAATAATTTGGTTACTCAATCCACAACTGTTTGTGGGACACTGCTGTGCACAATTGGCTCCCGCGTTTCACGCACAAATATACAGTCAATTCACTTTATGATAATAATAATCCTTGCATTTCATATAGCGCTTTTCACGTCTTTGAGATGTCTCAAAGCGCTTCACAGAATATACTGTAAAATGAATTGACTGTGTATTAACAGTTGTGGATTGAAGTGACCAATTTATTTTGTTTTATATTTTTATATTCTGTGAAGCACTTTGAGATGTCTAGACGATGTGAAAAGCACTATATCAAATGCAAGGATTATTGTTGTTATTTATTATATGTTAGATAAGTTAATTGGGTTCAGTTGGAGAGAGTTTCAATGGTTCTGGAAAACAAGATTATTTGATGCATTTATGTATAGAAAAAGGGGAATGTAGTTCAGTTCAATAAGTTCAACTTTAATTAATGTGTACGCAAACTCTGATACCAATGCAACAATCATAACCTTTGCTAACGATACCAAACTATGTGGGCAGACAGCTAAAATAACCAGCATTCAAGGCAGTTTTCACCAATTAAGCAAATATAGTACACATTTTTTAACCCTTTTTACATTGGGAGAATGTCGCAAAGGGCTGGATAGTTCAGGGTTTTTACCCGAACTGGAGATGGAGCCTGAAGGGAGGTTGGGGGTGGAGGAAAAATGGCTGAACAAAGTCAAAGAGAAAGGATTTGAGGAGAACCTTGAAGTGGGTAAGGGAAGGTGCGAATCAAAGGGATGGAGCTCCAGAGCATGGGGGAAAATATGCTGAAAGTCCAACCACCGATGCTAAGGCAGGTAGAGCAGGGATGTAAAGCAGCCCAGTGCCTCTGAATGCTGGGATGGGTGGGACATGTTGGGGATGAGAAGAAGATCAGATTTGAATAATGGATATTTGATGAAGGCTGAAGATTCTACAGTTTATCCTGATTGCCTTTAGGATTCAGTAAGTATCCCTGCGAAACTTATTTCACCACAAGATAGAGAAAGTACGCAAATTCTACAATGTAGAACTTGTAGTTGAACATCAGTGGACTTGATGAGTCAAGTAGCCTTTTCTGGTTTTGTGGTCTTGTACATCTACAGTTTGGTCAAGTTGTCACCCAGATTCATTATACAAACTCTGACTAAATAGTGCTAAGTCTTGGACTTCACCAACCAGATTTGTAGTAAAGATATAATTTTAGATGAAAACCTAATTTTTTGAATTGTTGCTGAAAACCATAAACACTCATCTTTGGTATTAATGCTAATCTTCTCTGTAAGTTTCCTGTTTCTTTTGGTAATGGTGCACACAGAATTGCATGCTGTACTCCCAATAGCATCTAAACCAATATAACTAATTTGAAATAAAATTTAGTTTCATAAGAGTCTTTGTAATGGACTCTGGTTTAAGGTAGTTAAAGCATATTTTTTCAAATAATCTTTTAGGAAGTTTTGGACACTGCAAGACAACTTTTATCAGAGCTGGGCCAAAAGACTGATTCAGAAATAGAAGAAAGTAAAGCAAAACTTGAACAACTGAAATCCGTACTTGAGATGTGAGTATTCTTGTTTACATAAAATAAAATGTGTAAAAATCAATAAAAATGCAGAAGTAGAATTGTTCTGTAACCATTGATAATGGTTATCTTATTCCATACAAAGAATACTTTCTGCTGTGTTGATAAAATGTTGTTTTCAAAACTAATATCTGTACAATTCTGTCATTAATGGCAGAAAATAATAATTCTTGCATTTGATATAGCGCCTTATCACATCTTCTGGACGTCTCAAAGCGCTTCAAATTACTGCATTCTTGGAGTCGTCATTCTTTGGATGAGACAAATGTCTGATCGTTATAGTGGCTCAGATGAAGGTTAAACATCCCAGGATACTATCTTGAAGAATAGTAGGGTGTTTTCCTAGCTTCCTAGTCAATTTTCCTCTATGATTTAACAATATATAGAATAGGTACAGTCCTGTACATTGAATTGTTATACAACGATTTAATCTGCCATTAATTTAATCCTTCAATTATAGTCAAAGGCTAGACCTGAAGTTATGACCTGCTATTGTACAGGATACATGAACATGATGCAATAAACAAATACTATGTCAGTCTGTAATTTGTAAAGCACTTTTCGGGGGGCTCAGCTGGGTGTCTGACGCATGCAGAAACCCATTGCCTTGATGAAGAGTATCCAAATTGTATAGCATGCCACCAACACAAGGCAATTTCCCATTTGTCTGAAAATGAAATGTGCACTCTCCATGATGAGATACACCCTGCGTTCCTAATTTAAGAAATCATTAAGTACAAATTGGCACTATTTGAGGCTTGGGAACCTGGAGTGTGCACCGGGTATTGCTGCAGGTTAACAACAACAACAAGATTCCATTTATAGAGCGCCTTTCACGTCGGGAGGACGTCCCAAGGCGCTGTATAGTTGGGTCAGGACCCGAGCATTGGGGAAATGGTCAGGGTGAGGGGAGGGAAGGGAGAGAGCGAGGAGGGGGTAGAGAGTCGAGAGGGGAGCTGAAGGCACGGTCAAAGAGAAAGGTCTTGAGACCGGCCTTGAAGCAGGAAAGGGAGGAGGCGGCGAAGGCACTGGGGGATGGAGTTCCAGAGCCTGTGGGCTGAGAGGCTGAAGGCCCGGCCACCGATGGTAGGGCGTTAGGGCGGGGGATGTGGAGCAGACCGGAGCCAGAGGAACGGAGGGTACGGGCAGGTAAGTAGGGGGATAGTAAGTCAGAAAGGTAGGAGGGAGCAAGGCCGTGAATGGCCTTGTAGGCGAGGTTAACCAGCTAAAACTGCCCAGTTCGCCATTGAGAGCATTATCTGGCAATCTTCCCACTGTTTGTTTACTTCACCAATTAGGACTTTAATTTGCAGGATTTACAGGACCTTTCAGAAAAATCATTGCCCTCAATGACTACTTTGCCCTCCAAATTCTGCAGACGAGCCAGACCTGACGGTCTGTCATTAACAGTGCTTGGAGTGTTGCAAACCTACCTGGCTCAGGAACCAGACTACTGAGAACACCACAAAGGATTGACTGCATCCAGATAATCCATTGTCATGGAGTCCTGTAGTTCAGTGGTTAGAGCAACCGCCTCGCAAGTGAGAGATCTGGTTTGATTCCCGACACGGTGAAACATTGGGCATATTTCCTTACTCCACACAAGTCTGTTTACCTAGCAGTAAGTAGGAACCAGGTTGATAGTCAATTGGCGGATTGATTTTCTAGGGGTAATAATTCCTTTTTTAATCCTTTTTTAATCACTCAATCCACAACTGTTTGTGGGACACTGCTGTGCGCAGTTGACTGCCGTGTTTTGCCCACAAAATATACAATCAGTTCACTTTACAATATATTCTGTGAAGTGCTTTGATACGTCTTGAAGACGTGATAAGGCGCTATATCAAATGTAAGGATTATTATTATTGCCAGACACATTACCTTAGAACCAGCTCAGCCTCCAAGGAGATTTCACTTGCTTTCCCCTAAAGAGTATAAATTGCTCATTAGACGTCCAATAAAGCAGATTTGAACCTTCGCTCGGTGGACAGCACTTCTTGGGAGCTTCCTGGTGAGCAGCATGAAATGCATGACATCCATATCCATTGATGGAACATCATGGCAATTTTGCAGCAGCTGCTGCTCTATACCAATCAAGGTAGATACCAAGCCCTGGATGTTAGAGTGTGTTCGTAAATGCTCTTTCATGAAAGTGCTTTGAGATGTTCTTCTGAACGACTTTATAAATATAAATTTGGTTGCTTTGGATAGTTTCTTTAAGCGCTAATGCATAGACATAAAATCAACAAATACTCTAGTTACAGTGGCTGTTTTTGAAGAGTTTCTAAGTTGACTGGTGAGCTCAAGCTGCTAAAGTGAGAGCAATGTTATTCTGTTTGCTAATGTCATTTGTGTGCTATATTATTAATAATGATCCTTACTTTTGGTATGGTGTCCTTCACACACGAGGATGTCTCAAAGCACTTCACAGGATATACTATAAAGTGCAGTAACCATGTTTTGTGGGTGAATGTGGCAGCCAATTTGTGCACAGCAGTGTCTCACAAATTCAAGGTGAATGACTAATTTTAACTGGGGGATAGTTGGATAGGATACCAGAAGAAACTCCCTTCTATTTTGGGAATCCTTAACGTTCACCTGAACAGCCAGGTGGGACCTCTGTTTCACGTCTCATCCAAAGGACGGAATCTCCAACAATTCAGAACACCCCCAAACTGCATTGGAGTATCAGCGTCGGCAATATGGGTTCCAAGTCCCAGTGTGGAACTTGAATTCCCAAACTTTTGTGAGCAGTGCTACCAACTGAACCTGATTTTCACTGTATCTAAGTACGGGGGAGGGGGAGACCACCTTTACATACTGTGAAGATAATTACTTGGTGGAGCTAGATGTGTTTAGGAATAGGATCATTCACTCTAATGGGACTAACAACACTGTGGACCAGAAAACACTTCATTCTGATATCGGATGACTTTGTAGTGGTTCTAAGCATGATGGTTCTAATATTGTTTTGGTTTCTCTCTCGATTTTTAAAATTGTTTATCAGGTATGGGCACTTTTCTGGTATAAACCGCAAAGTTCAGTTAACTTATCTTCCGCAAGGATGTCCAAAGACCTCAAGCGAAGAAGAAGGTAAGCTTCTGGGCGGAGTCCTCATGTAACTATGATTGGGATATGTCCATTGCTGTTTCAACAACTTGTGGATTGGGAGGGGGAAGTAAACCTACCTCCTTGCTAGTTATGAGAGACTTACAAGCCCTTGCTTTAAAGGATGGTATCAGTTGGCTTGGGCCTGGCTGGATTCACTGAGGTTGTGATTTCAGCCAGTTTTCAGTTTCCTGGATTCCTGTCCAAAATAATTGCTTTAACAATGAAGCATATGCATAGCACATGAAGGGGTGCTCCCGCTACTTATTTGGGCTGCTTTGCTTGGTGTTGATGAGTTGAGGGAGTTATGGTTCTGCATTGACATCCAGCTACCACCTGACTTCATTTCATAGAATTGTTGTATAAAGGCAGATATTACATATTAACTGTGACACTCAATGTACCTGACCCCTAAGATGAAAAGCATTTTATCCTGAAAAAGGGATGAGATTAAGTTTTAAGTAATTTTGTTTTCTGTTAACTTCTGTTCATTCTAATACTGTTATTTTTAAGTCATTTTAAAATTTAATTATTGTTACAGATAGCAGGAAGGAAGAACCATCATTGCTCCTGGTATTAAAATGGGGAGGAGAATTAACCCCAGCAGGCAGGGTCCAAGCTGAAGAGTTAGGCCGTGCTTTTAGATGCATGTATCCAGGAGGGCAAGGTAAAACAAAAGATAACACAGCACATTTATGTCCATTCTTGATTATCTGTTTATGTGTATTTCTGGGTTTTGCACCTAATAATATAGGAAGCTTTTTGGATAGTATTGCGAATGTGTCGAGATTCAGTATTATTTATGTCTAATGAATTTTCCAATTTTCTTCACATTGGCATGTTTTTGCTTCTGGTCCCCAGTCTCATTATGCTGGGGTGCAGTTCTGCAGGCACTGATACACTGCCCAAATGGCCATTGTTCATGTGTGAACCTTGGTAGTTAGTGGCAGATGACTGAAGTGTAGAAGGCAACACTGCCGAGCGCCATCTCCCAATCCAGCTACCAAACACATGATTACAGGTAGAAAGTGTTGAAGAAGGACTAGGACCAGTAACCTCCCATTTTAAACTCCTTAAATCTGAGAAGGCTGATCCAGTTTAGCCTCTTCACGCAGTCTAGCTGAGAGTAGAAAACTCAACATAGACAGGGACTCAAACAGTGAACTGGTCTTTCATGTCTACATTAATGCACCAGAGGGTTCTGGTTAGTGTCAAGAAATTGAATTTGCTAATGAGAAGAACACTTCTTTCAATTCTATAGTTCATTTCTTGATTATGAATTGTTCATGGGTCCTTTGCATTATTAGTATTAGTGGCTAATTAGAGGATGTAAAAAGTGATCAGAAAATATATTGGACCTTTTGTCCTTCCTTTATTTTCAACTAAACCAGGTGTTTTCATCTGGTTGTGTGCACAACACATAACTGTTCAGTGTTGGATATCAAAATACACATTTTATATAGTAATAATCCTTGCATTTGATATAGCGCTTTTCACGTCTTCCAGATGTCTCAAAGTGCTTCACAGAATATACTGTAAATTGACCATATATTTGTGGGCGAAATATTTTGCAAAGAAACTAGATTTAAGAACTACACATCTACCAAGAATAAAATAATGATTTATGTTTAGATTTATATAAGGAGATCACAGTAGGTTAAGAGATAATTGTAGTACAGTATTTTTGTATCCAAAAATGTTGTGACCAATAGGAACATTGCAACTTCTGTTTTGTACCAGTAAAAACAAATGACAAATGTGATATGATCCTGTTACAACTGTTAAGTAGGATAGATTTAACAACAAATATCACAATACTCATCACTGAAATCTAACATTTACTTTAATATTATTATATCAAGTTATATTGCTAATTTTTAGGAAATCCAAAGATGTAGTCAATAATGTCACTCTCACCTCAGAGTCAAATTGTTGTGGGTTCAAGCCTCACGTTGGGACTTGGAATCACATTGTCTGAGCTGACACTCCAATGCAGTGCTGGGGAATGGGGGGCGGTTTTGCATTGTTGGAAGTGCGTCCTTTGGATGAGACAGTAAACCGAGGTCCTGTCTCCCTATTCGGGATTCCATGGCACTATTTGAAAAGAGAAGAGAGTTTCTCCTGATGTCCTGACCAACAATCCTCAAAGTACAATTGGTCACTCACTTCATGGCTGTTTGTGGGACATTGCTGCATGCAACTGGCTGCTGTGCTTCGCCCACAATATACACAGTCAAAAACACTTTGCATTGTATCTTACAAAGCACTTTGAGAAGTCTCAATGATATAAGACACTACATCAAATACAAGAATTGTTAGTGTTAGGATATTATCATGACAAATTTATGCCTGTCTTGAATTATGTGCTAAAAGATCACAACTTTGTATTTGCTAATTAGATCTCAGAGTTTCAGTTGTGGCTATTGGTGGGTTGTTTGCTCTTTGGTAACACATATTTTCATTCAGATTTGGAGAGTTCAATATCCAGTATCACTGGATTTTCCAGCTTTGAATTTGTATTCATTTTTGTGTATTGTTTTCAGGAGATTATGCAGGCTTTCCAGGATGTGGCTTACTCCGATTGCACAGTACTTATCGCCATGATCTAAAGATCTATGCTTCAGATGAGGGTAGAGTTCAAATGACTGCAGCAGCCTTTGCAAAGGTTACCAATATAATATTTATACTTTTTAAAATACTCCAGCCATGTCTGGTTCTGCAAACAAGTGCCTCTTAACAAATTGCAGCCCCATTTTTTTTTAAATAAATTTATTTATAAATATAATATTTGGTACAACAGAAATCCCAACCAAAAGCAATGTACAGCATCTTCTGTCACAATTTTTTTCCTTTCTCCCGATACCAGATCTGTTGTTTATACTGCATTCTTTCACCACACATAGGTTGTGCACATGTTTTTTGGGATACTCCCTCTAAAACAATCGGTAGTCGCCCCTGGGTACACCACATCCACCCTGCATCCCGCATCCACCCTGATAAGTCACAGTTGCAGCTTTCAGAAGGTGCTCCGATATGCACCATACTCCCACATGGTACTCTTTGGTTACATCTCAAGCATCCTTCTGTATCCTTACGTTTATTTCAGTCAATTTTGGGTGTATGTCTGTGACAAACTAAGAGGTCAGTTTGGCTTAGTTGGTAGCACATTCACTTTTGGGTCAGGAGGTTTGGTATTCATGGTTTTAACTCGTAATCTAGGCTGGCTTTATTCTGGGAATGTTGAATTGTTGGAGGTGCTATACTATCCACATGTATGCGGATGATACCCAACTCGACCTTTCCTCCTCTACCCTCAACTCCACGACCACCGATGTCCTGACAGCCTGCCTGTCCGACATCGAGTCCTGGACGAGAGACAACTTTCTTCAGCTCAACGTGCGTAAAACCGAGGCCCTCCTGATTGGCTCACGTCAGCGCCTCCGCACCTCAGGCACCGACACCATCAGCATCCAAGGCTGCACTCTCCACCTCTCAAAGCCAGTCAGGAACCTCGGCGTTTTGTTCGACCCTGAGCTGTCCTTTCTCCCTCACATCCACAACACAACTGGCACCGCCTTCCATCACCTCCGGAACATCGCCAGACTACGGCATTACCTCAACCCTCACGCTGCTGAAACCCTGGTCCACGCCTTTGTCACCTCAAGGCTGGACTATGGGAACTCTCTCCTCGCCGGCCTTCCCGCCACCTCCCTCCACACTGCAGGTCATTCAGAACTCTGCAGCTCATGTACTGTCCCGCACCAGGCTTCGGGACCACATCACTCCCACCCTCGCTCGCCTCCACTGGCTCCCCATCCCCCAGAGGATTGATTTCAAGATCCTCATCCTCACCTACAAGGCCATTCACGGCCTTGCTCCCTCCTACCTCTCCAACCTACTATCCCCCTACCTACCTGCCCGTACCCTCCGTTCCTCTGGCTCCGGTCTGCTCCACATCCCCCGCCCCAACCGCCCTACCATCGGCGGTCGGACCTTCAGCTTCTCAGCCCCGAGGCTCTGGAACTCTATCCCCCAGTGCCTTCGCCTTGCTTCCTCTCTCTCCTCCTTCAAGGCCGGTCTCAAAACCTTCCTCTTTGACCGAGCCTTCAGCTCCCCTCTCGACTCTCTTCCCCCTCCTCGCTCCCTCCCTTCCCTCCCCTCACCCTGACCATTTCCCCCCTCCTCGCTCCCTCCCTTCCCTCCCCTCACCCTGACCATTTCCCCCCTGCTCAGGTCATGACCCAACTGTGCAGCGCCTTGGGACGTCCTCCTGACGTGAAAGGCGCTTTATAAATGGAATCTTGTTGTTGTTGTTTTGGATTAAATGTTAAACCAAAGTTTTTTCAAGTAGACTAAAAATATACCATAGCACTATTCAAAAGGAGTAGGGAATTTTTCTCAGTATCTGGTCAGCCATCCCCCAGATAAATTTGGCATTCACCCCATGGCAGTTTGTGGAATTTTACTATATATAAAATAATTTTTAGGCATTGCCTAAAAATAGTCATGATGTTTAACATCTACTGGTGAAGCACCTTTGAGACAATTTGATATTTTAGGTGCTGTATCAAATGCAAGGATTATAATTATTTTATATGGAATAATTGAATAATTATTCTGATCAGAACAACATTTAAAATAAAGCTATCTGATTGCATATGCATTCATCATCTTGCACCCAACAATTTTTTATCATAGTACTTTCACATTATGATGCATTTGAAATCTTGCCACAATTTTGTAAATCAGATTTTATCACTACTAAGAACAGAAATTCTCATTGGCTGTTCAAAACTTTTTTGCAGAACTAGGTGTGTTCCTACAGGTTATGTTTCCTGTAATAAAACAAGGACTGATAATGTTCAGGTGTATGTTTTTATATTAGTAATATATTGGCAACCAGAATAGTGTCTAAAATTGCTTTGGACTATTTATGACTAGGGATTGCTAGCTTTGGAGGGGGAGCTGACCCCAATCCTTGTTCAGATGGTTAAAAGTGCCAACATGAATGGCTTGCTAGACAGTGACAGTGATTCCCTGAGCAGTTGCCAGCAGCGAGTGAAAGCAAGACTTCATGACATCCTACAGAAAGATCGAGGCTTCAGTGTTGAAGAATATGAAAAGGTGAGTAACTATTAATTTCAAACTAATATTGTGCACTTAGTTTGTTTTTATAGTCATCTAACAATAGCAATGATTTTTTTAAAAATGTTTATTATTGTTGCTTCATTCTCTACTGCATTTCTATCAGTTGAATCTAATTATATTTTTCACCCAATGTTCTGTCTAAATTTGGCAATGGTGATTCACATTTTGTCAGGTTCAGAGGATGGAGTTACCTGTATTCATTTCTTTTCATTCTCCCCTCATGTTAATATTTGGTCAGTGTTCAGATTGCAGAGAGGTTTGTAACTTAGTTGATAACATGTCTGCCTCTGGGTTGGAAGGTCGTGGGTTCAATCCCCACATTGGGACTTTGAGCTCGTAGTTTAGGCCGACACCCCAAGCTGCCATCTTTTGATAGAACGTTAAACTGTTGAATGTTAAACTTCAGGCTGCCTGTTCAGGTGGATATTAAAGCCTCCATAGCACTTACTAAAAGACAAGAGAGGTATTTTTTAGTGTCATGACCAACAATCCTCCAGATAAAATTGGTCATTCCCTTCACAGCTGTTTGTGGGACAGTGCTGTGTGAAAATTGGCTGCCATGTCTGTCTGCAAATACAGAGCCCCTACAGAAATGTTATGATGTGCTTTGAGACTTTCTTGGTGTTGTGGCCTATATTTGGGGCTGTCCTTTTGACTAGTGAGTGACAGTACTAGATCTATGGAATAAAAGGTGCACAATCCACCAAAACTGGACAAATGCAGGTTAGCAACATAGGAACAACAAGATTACATTTGTAAAGCACCTTCCACGTCGGGAGGACGTCCCAAGGTGCTGAACAGTCAGCACCCCGAGCGTGGTTGTGGGGCAGGGTTGATATGAGGTAGGGCAGAGAGGTAGGAGAGTGACTGAAGGCATACTCGAAAAGGAGCGTCTTGAGTCATGCCTTGAAGGAGGTAAAGGAGGGAATCAGGCAAAGGGATTGTGTGAGTTCCAGAGGTTGGGGGCAGAGAGGCTGAAAGCCTGGCCGCCGATGGTTGGGCAGGAGACATGTAGCAGGCTGGAGACTGCTGAGTGTAGGGAGCGGACAAGTTGATAGAAGGTCAGCAGGTCAGAGATGTAAGAGGGGCAAGGCTGTGGAGGGCCTTGAAAGTGAGGACAAGGGTTTTGAATTCTATCCTCTGAGGGATGGGGAGCCAGTGGAGCCGGGCAAGGGTGGGTGCGATGAGGTCACGGAGCCTGGTGCAGGAGAGGACATGAGCTGCAGGGTTCTGGAGGATCTACAGCTTGTGGAGGGAAGAGTTGGGGATGCCCATAAGGAGGGAGTTTCTGTAGTTGAGCCTCGAGGTGACGAATATCTGCATGAGGATTTCGGTTGCCTGAGGGGTGAGGCAGTGGTGGAGTTGGGCAATGTTGCGGAGGTGGGGGAAGGTAGAGGGGGTCGTGCATGGACATGGGGGGAAAAAAGACAGTTGAGGGTCGAAAAAGACTCCCAGGTTCCTGACTGGCTTGTTGTGGTGGAGTGTGCATCCGTGGATGTTGATGCTGCCTGAGGTGCAGAAGCGCTGGCTCAAGCCAATCGGGAGGGCTTCAGTCTTGCTGACATTCAGCTGTGGAACGTTGTCTCTCATCCAGGACTTGATGTCTGTCAGGACATCAGTTGTCCTGGAATCGAGGGTGGAAGCAGAGATAGAGTTGGGTGTCATCTGAGTACATGTGGAAGTTGATCCCCATGTCTGTGGATAATGTCACCAACGGGGAGGGGAGTATGTGGAGGGTGAAGAGGAGGGGACCGAGGACAGCCCTGAGGACCACCACATAAGACTGTGTGGGGGTTGGAAGAGAAACCGTTGTCAGAGACAAATTGGAGACGGTGTGAGAGATAAGACCTGAACCATTCAAGGACACAACCTTCAAGGTTGAGAGGCGGTGGAGGAGGATGGAGTGGTTCACGGTATCGAAAAAAGAAATAGGAGAAGGCTGTTCAGCCCATCGAGTCTGTTCCATCAGTTGGCAGATCATTTAATCCTAATGCTGCACCCTTTTGCCATATCCCTTAATATCTCTGCTATTCAAGTATCTCTCGATCCCTCATAAATATACCTATTAATTCTGCCTCTACAATATTCTGGGGCTGAGCATTCCACATCTTCTTAACTCTGAAGAAGTGAAGAAATGCTTTCTGACCTCGCTTCTAACCATTTTGATTTTAAGGGTATGCCCCTTCATAAAGGATTCCTCTTCCAAAGAGCGAAGTTATCCACCACTTACCCTATCAATTAAGTGAAATACCTCATTGATATCACCCCTTAACCTGTTTTGCGCTGAGAAATATAACCCCAGTCTTCCAATCCGCTGATCATAGTTAAGCCCCTTCAACCCATGTATTAATCTATTGAACTATTGATCGATATCCTCCAAGACTATTTAGAATGCACTCCTGACAGCTATTCTTCAGTTTGAAGTGTACTACCTGACAGAAGTAAGCATGTTTTTTGTAATTTGTTTGTACATATTTCTGTGGCATGGTAGTATTCATATATGCTTGCCCTTTATGAGTATTCTTTAAAAATAATCTTTGTATTATGGCTTAGTAATAACCTATGACAGTTTTCGTTTCCTTCAACTGTTTCTGTCTTTTGCAGCTTGCACCAACTAACAGCAGCTCTCTAATTAAGTCAATGCAGTTCATCAAAAATCCTGTAAAGACCTGTGATATGGTTTACTTCCTGGTCCAGAGCTTGACTTCCCAGATCAAACAGAGGATGGAAGACCCCAAATCAGCTGGTAACTTGTTGAATGTACAGCATTCATTCATCCACAAATGTCACGAGAATGATTCTCGCCCTATTATGACATTAAAAAAAGTTAATCAATAAAATAATCCTTGCATTATAGAGAGCAATAATGTGCTAAAACATGCTCCCTTAGTTTACTTCAGGGCAGCCTAGACTATGAGTTTGAAGTTCCAAAATGAATCTTTGAACTCACAATCTAGGTTTCAAATTGACTCTTAAATTCAATGCTGACTTGGAGTCCTCTCTTTGCACCCCACTGCCAGGTTAAATGGTTGTTAATGTTGCATAGCTCTTATCAATACACTTGATTTAGACCTATATCTTTCAGTTTAACTCAACTGATAGCACTCTCTCTCGCTTCTGGATTAGAAGGTTATGGGTTTAAGCCCCATATTTAGTTTGGAGCTCACTGTTATGCTGACATTCCAGTGCAGTACTAACAGTACTGATCAACACTATTCCAGTTAAATTAGATATCATGACACACAATGTCCAAATTGGCTGTTGTGTTTGCTGCACTTGATGGTAATTATCTATGGAGTTATTTGAGACATATTCAAGTTATAGACAGTAATATAATGTACTATAATGACAAAGAGCCGGCACTGACACAATAACAACAAAAACTGCACTTGTATAGCGCCCTCCACGCAGGGTAGTGTCTCAGACCGCTTAACAGTGGAGGAGCCTGACTCCGAACCAGGGGAGGTGGACTTAAGCACGATCGAAGAGGATGGGCCGAATGTCCTCCTGTGCTGTATAATTCTATGATATGCAACTCTCTAACAAAAAAAAAGGTGGGGAAAGGAAAGGTGACTGAAAGCATTATTATTGTACTTATAAAGGAAACATTCTTGCCTTATTGTATACAGATATTCAGCTTTACCACAGTGAATCACTCGAACTGATGTTGCGAAGATGGGCAAAACTAGAAAAGGACTTCAAAACGAAGAATGGACGTTATGATATCAGTAAAATTCCTGATGTTTATGATTGTATAAAATATGATGTTCAGCACAACAGTTCTTTAGACCTGAACAATACAATGGAACTTTATAGACTATCAAAGTCATTGGCTGACATTGTCATACCTCAGGTAAGAAACTACATTTTCAAATATCTGATTTAGATTTGTCCTTTTGCAGGATATTATTTTGTATGGTGGGGGGGAGGGAACCTTGGCCAATTTTCTTCCCTCCTGGTTCCTTGTGTCCTTGCTATTTCTTTAAGCGATTCATCTTCTATCACCTTTGTTACACTTGGATAAGAAAGGTAGCTTTGCTGGCAGACCAATTGGAGTTGCTGCCTTTCCATTTCTTCCAAAGTTAGACTTTGTTCAACTAATAATTATATTGTATTCATACCACATCCTCTGTACACATCATGTCTTTCAGACTTTCTGATCTGGGCTAGAAAAAGATGATCCAAGTTATGATAAAGAAAAAAATGGGTTCCAAGCATCTGTTCAGACTCCACCTGAGTTTTATTTATTTGAGCCATACAGTTCTGTTAATAGTTATGTAGATGTTGTGGTCTATAGCAACTGAATTAAATTATTTTGGGACTAATTTTGTGTGTATAGATCTGGTTATGATCTGAACTGTATTTCTAGGTATATTTCAATATTAAAAATTGGTTTAGGAATTTTATGTCTTCAAAGAATTAGAAACACTTTGTTTCACTAGGACTTGGACTTTTCCCCCTGGAGTCAACAAAATTCTTAGTCCTTAGCTGATGCCATCCATGTTGTGTCACTTATTGTACTTCTTCACCAGGAAGTATTGGGGATTGGAGCTGATATTTCTTTGCCATAAATTCTTCTATTAAATCATTGGCAGGGTAAACACTTTAGTTTACCTCTCTGATTAACCCTTTTCTGTTAGTGCTATCTTTGAGCAGCCGGAGTACAGGTACATCTATTGCAATGTAAGGCTTTGAGACCACCTGATTCAGATGATAACTCAGCAGATCCAAAAGAGCCGTTCTCTGAGGACTCAAGCAAGAAGGATAATAATAATAATCCTTGCATTTGATATAGCGCTTTTCACGTCGGGAGGACGTCCCAAAGCGCTTCACAGAACACACTGTAAAGTGAATTGATTGTATATTTGTGGGCGAACGCAGCAGCCAATTGCGCACAGCAATGTCCCACAAACAGTCGTAGATTGAAAATGACCAATTTATTATTGTTTTTGGTTTTGGAGGGATTATTATTAGGCGTGTGGAGTAAGGAAACTTGCCCAAGGTTTCGCCCTGCCTGGAATTGAACTCAGGTCTCTCGCTTGCAAAGTGAGTGCTTTGACCACTGAGCTACAGGACTCCACGAGGATGGCCTCTTATGTCTGTTCATGACCAAATCAAACATTTCGCAGTCTTCATTCAATAGAAACCGAGATTTTGCAGGCAGACATTGCTAAAGAACTTCACAAAGAGTATTATATCATTGCTTGACAAAGGCTGGTTTATTTGCAATCAGACAATTTGGGTCCAGCATTTAGACAAGTTCAGAATACTGAATCAAGTACTTGTGACCTGCATAAATTACATTTACATCAGATCATTGTTCCAGCATTCAGGCTCATCGAGGATGCATCAGTTTGTAACATATTGATATTAAGAACTTTCTTGATTTTTTTTGATGTTTGTAATGGGGATAGCAGTATCAATGATGTTTTTCTCAGTTTCCCTTCATCTTCCGAGTTCTTCAGAAATGAAGACTGAGAATGGTGATTCTCATTGCCCTAAGCTAGCAAAGAAAATGATTATTTTGATTATTGAAAATGATTTTGGAGTCTTTTTTGTGCCAATTTTAGACATATCTTTTGAACCTTCTATCTCAGATGGAAGCCACATTTATCATCCCTTCCTGAGAAATTCCAATTTAACCCATACGCTGAAGGCAAATGTCCATTGAATGGCTAATGAGGAACTTATAAAGCTTTGGATGACAGAAAGGATTATATAGAGTCTGAATTTGTGCATACACTGACCCCTAACTGCCTCACCATCTGGCGAGCTTTCAGCTTATTTTGCCCCCACTCTGGAACTTCATCCCTCTGACTCACATCATACCCCACCTCGTTCAAGGTCTTTCACAAGACTTTCCTCATGTTTTCTGTCATCTTGCCCCTCCCCAGCCCCTCGACTCCCACCCCTAGCTCGGGTGCCAACCCAGTATTATTTAGCATCTTGGGAAAACTTGATATGAACGATGCTATGTAAATTTGTATTGTAGATAGGTGAATAGCTGCTACTGAAGCTCCGGACTTCCAACTGGTAGAATTATCACTCACTGTGTAGGGATGTGTGTCCGAGCTGTGGGCAGGAGGATGGTACTAATGCTCTTGTATGTTTCATGCTGAATTGTGCTGCTCATACAAAGCCTAATGAGAGCTCACAAGGTGAAGATTGCTTGTAGAATGTTAAATGACCAGCTTATGACTAATTCCCCCTGGTGTGGTGGGTTACAAAGAATGTACAGCACAGAAGCAGGCTATTCAACCCAACCAATCCATGCTGGTGATTATACTCTACACGATTCTTCAACCCTTCTTTATTCCTTCCCGTACTCTTCTATTCACCTCTTCGTCATGTGAAGGGTCTAGCTTCCTCTTGAATGCATCTACACTGTCTGATTCAACCACTGCTTCAGGTAATGAGTTCCACAATCTCTTTAGTGAGCTGACTCCAAGGTGACGTGCCTGGTAACATAATGTCAGAATCTATTTTTAACTATGTGATGATATTGGTAGTTCGATTCCTGAGCCAGGTAGGTTTTCAGTAATCTAAGGTAATGCAGATGCCAGAGAAAGTGGCATCCGGTTGGGTAAACGGGGTCTACTTGGAGCTGAACTGTCTCCAAGTTGATTTGTTTCGCAACGGAATGTCAGAATTGAGCCAGCTCTCTGTGGTGGTCTTGGTAGTACGGTTCATGAGCCAGGTGGGTCCTCAGCACTGCAGGGCACTGGTGATGACAGCAAAGCCAGCCTCGCTCATCAGCAGGACCTGGAAGGGCAGGCAGGGAAACTTCCCACTCAGCTCCTGTTAGCCCTGCAAGCTAAAGTCCTCACAGTGGTCCTAGCTGGACGAGCAGTGGGAAAGCTTGCCAGGCATTGCTGTCAATGGCAAGTTATACGGTTTTAACTGGTTAGACTCCAGCAGTACCTCTGTGGTCCCCAAGCCCTGACTCTTGCCAACCTGCGCCTATACTTTATGGAATTAGGTAAGCAGGATGCTTCCCTCCAGAGAGAGAGAGAGTGCGCATTCCATTCTAACAATCTATCTCTGAAATTTCCATGTGAGGTGGGAGTGCATAGAATTCTCAGTTTGGTTTGGATATTCTTAAGCATGGTAATGGGTTTCCACATGTGTCAGCTACCCGGCTGACCAAAAAACACAGATGCCAGACCAGTCTTCCTAACTCATTGGCAGGATTTAGATAGGCAGACCGACATTGGAGCAGAAATTTGTCGCACCTGGCTCCTTTTATTCTTGCAAGCCAAAGTCCTAAGAGGTTCAGTGATCCTAGCTGGAATGGCACCTGGAAACTTGTATGCCAGATTGTTCTTTCACTGGCAAGCTATGTGGTTTTAACTGGTCAAACTCCAGCAGTACCCCAAAGTACCCTTTGGAGCCTTTAATTAAGTCTTCTTGCCAATGTGGACACATTTCCAGAATTAGGTAAACAGGATGTGCCCTCCAGTAAGAGAGAGGGCACTCCATTCCACATGTGGACATTTCCATTCATAGGTAGCATGCAAATATGGAACTCTGGCTGGTTTAGATTCTCTTAAACATGGTGATAATTTTCCACGTGTCAGCCACCTGCTGAGAAAACATACATGAAGTCCTAGCTTTGATATTTATGATTCTTCAGCCTTGATTAGTGGAGCCTCTATCTTTCATCAAGATTTCCACCAAAGATGTATATGATCCCAAACAAAGAAGTTTTGCTTTTGGAATTGGAGTCAGTGAAGTTAACTAAATACAGCAAATTTAAATGTACTTTTACCCATATGATCTAAATCTAAGTTTGAAGTCCGATTTACACATTGTAACCACACAAATCTTCTTTATTCTCTGGTGGAAAGTTCTCCAGGCAATTTTATTACATCTCCTAATCTATAAAGAGAACCTTGAATAAATTCTAATCATTCTTCTTTGACACGATCAGCCGAATGGCCTTTTGTGCTGTAAATTTCTCTTAAAAGATTCTGCGGTTCCATACCTTTGGGTTCTGAAATTACTTCTTCACAACTTACTTACTTTGAACTGTTACGTTCTTGTCACCTTAAATTTCAAATATCTTTTTTAAATGTAGGTATTTCATCTCGCCTCTACAGTGCATCCTATTGAAGGTATCGCTCAGTCAAGAGTCCAGGGTTTTGTGGAAGATGTAGAATGGAAATTTAACTACCTTGTTGAGGTCATCTTCATTCTTAAACAGAAACATCGCCCACTTATGGGTCTTCCAAAGTTACCTATTAGTTATGCAATGTATTTGATGAACTGTAATAAAGGTACTTAATACTAATTAGGAATGTTGTATTATTTGCTTATCCTGCAAAAAATGTTTACTTAGTGGTGGTGCTGAGGGGCGAGATCAGCACAAGAAACAAAGATCAATGATAAGATCAGCACAAGAAACAGTTGGGTGATCATTACAATCACAACTTCATCCATTGTTATCTAAGTGGTGTACAAAAGGTGTTTCTATCTCAGCAATGAAGATGACCTTACAATGTTGATAATTTTGCCTCTTTAGAAATATTTCTGGATAACATTAGCTTTCCAAAATATGTATGATTATTTCGCCCACAAAATATACAGTCAATTCACTTTACAGTATATTCTGTGAAGCGCGTCTCAAAGATGTGATAAGGCGCTATGTCAAATCCAAGTATTATTATTTAGTAGTATCACAACTATTTCCTTCTGATTGTGGTACAATTGAAAATTACAATTATTCTTCAAGGAATAATCAAATGGCATTATCCTTCAATTAATGCAATTAAATAGCCTCATATTTTGAATGATTTTGTATACTTTATTCTTTTGTTGACCATGTATTTGTTCTAGGAATATGGCATAACTAAGGATGAAAAACTGGATATTGCCAAAGGCTATTGCACTCCTTTGATCAGGAAAATTCGCTCAGACTTGCAAAGAACACAGGATGATGATACTGTTAACAAACTACATCCATTGTAAGTTTTTATTTACACTAAATGTACTTTCTAATGCATGATACTAATCATTTTGTTTGGGATAATGCCTTTTATGTGGGAGATCATCTCAATTGACTACATTTTGTGGGTGAACCTGCCAACCAATTTGCACACAGCAGTGTCACAAACAGCCATTTATTGAATGACCTATTTCATTTGGGGGATTATTGGCCAAGACACTGGGAGAAACTCCCTTCTCTTTTCAAAGAGTGCCATGGGATCTTTAACTTTCAACTGAGCAGGCAGATGGATGGGACCTCCGTTTAATGTCTTAACTGAAGGACAGCACCTCTGACATTGCAGCACATACCCAGCACTGCATTCGAGTGTCACACTATACGATCCAAGGCCTGATGTGGGGCTTGAACCCACAACCTTGTAACTCAGGCAAGAGTACTACAGACTGAGCTGACGCAATGTTCTTCTGCATATAGACTCAATAGCCACAAAAAAATGTGCACTGTGTAGCAAACTTGAAGTAAGATTTGGAAAATGAAGTAAAGCTGTTTGCAAGCGTTTTGGGTAGTTGTGTTTGGGAAGTTACACTTGTGGAAATGGCCTTACTTTGCTCATGTTCTGAGAAGCTTCTTAAGATAGGACATTGCATTATTTTAGATGAATGTAAGCACCATATATACTAACTTTGGAACAGCATGAACCATAGTTTCACACCATACACCTAGATATAAAGATATATTTGGAAGAAGTACTAAGTTAAAACATAGAAAGGAGCCGCACAACAACAATTTGATACTAAAAATGACTTTGTAAGTGAGAAATAACTGACTTACTATTATTATGCATTTAACAAATTTAGTATTAGCCAGAGCAATTTACATGACACATACAGTAAACTATGATAACTTGACCCTGGCTTAACTTGCCATTGCCATTTAAGTAACCATGATGTCGATATCCCAGCCACATTTATTTATGTGTGTGTGTGTATACGTATAATATATATGTATGCCTAACTTGCCACTTGGGATAACTCGTCACTTTCCCTTGGAGTGACAAGCTTTCAGAAGTGAATTCCTGATAACTCGTCACTCCAAGACAAGTGCTCAGACAGGAATGCTTTCAGGCCTCACTTGGTCTAATAATCTGAAATGATGTAAAAATGTAATTGATCAATTTGCATGAAAGATGGGGAAAATGTTATTGCCCAAGTGTACAGAAACCATAAAAGTATCACTTGCAGTTATGATTATTGAATAGTTTCCATAAGTGTACTGAATATGCATTACATTGGAATATATTATTTTATAATAATAATCCTTGCATTTGATATAGCGCCTTATCACGTCTTCCAGACGTCTCAAAGCACTTCACAAAATAAAGTGAATTGACTGTATATTTTGTGGGTGAAACGTGACAGCTGATTGCGCACAGCAGTATCCCACAGACAGTCGTGGATTGAAGTGACCAATTTATTATTTTTTTTGGAAGGAATTATTACCCCCGGAAAAGCGATCCGCCAATCGACTAACAACCGGGTTCCTACTTACTGCTAGATTAACAAGTGTGTGGAGTAAGGAAGCTTGCCTAAGGTTTCGTCCTGCCAGGAATCAAACCCAGATTTCTCGCTTGCGAGACAAGTGCTCTAACTACTGAGCTACAGGACTCCACTTGTCCTGTATAGCATCATGTAAAGCTATTGAATTGTTTAGAATCCGATTACATGTATATTGTTTCCAATATATTGAGAATAATTGCCATTTTTATACTTTTCAGATACTCCAGGGGAGTGATGTCTCCAGAGCGGCATGTTCGTACACGGTTATACTTCACCAGTGAGAGCCATGTACACTCGCTTCTCTCTCTATTGCGCTATGGAGCCTTGTGTGATGTAAGCATCAGAAAACTACCATTCACTTATTTTCAGTTCACAAACAGAAACCTTTACTGTATTTCTTACTTTTTGGGAATGAGGAATGGGATTGTGTAGGATTGGACTGACATTTTGGTTCTATTGGTAGCATTCCTTTCACCTTGTCGGAAGTTTGAGAGTTTAACTCCGTATGAGTTAAAATCTAGACTCTAAGTGCCCAAAGCATGTAGTGTGCAAGGGTCTTTATTGTCGCCTCTTAGGGTCTTCATTGCAAATCGCATTTTTGGAGCTCCAAAATGGAGGGGTGGGGCATAATTCAGTTGGATGCATATGTATTAGGTTTAGAATGAAGCAGGAATATAATTTTATATGCATCATGCAAGGCAAGGTGGAATTTTAGTCGTAAATCTGCTATAATTGTGGATCTAGAAACAATGCAGATATTTGGTTTTAATTCACTCTCTTTCATCAATAAAAGTTTGTTTTAAAGTCCGGTTCTGAGGGAGTGCTGTGTTGTTGGAGATGCCATCCTTCAAATAAGACATTAACTAACAGATCCAAATAAGATGTTTACTAACATTCCATCTTCTTGTTCTGGTCAATACAGATACAGGTTAAAGTTCCAGTGACAATATTTCAAAAGAGCTGGAATTTCTGGTGTACTGCATTAAAATCCATCATTCACTCCCTGCAGATTAGCTGGTCATTCGTCCAATCGCAGTATGTGGACATTTATGGTACTGATTAACTGCAATTAGTATATTGTATGCATCATGTAATTTTATGAGAAAAGTAATATTGTTCATGTGACATTAAGTAACCGGCATAATTTTTTAAAAAAATACTTGGAACTTTGTAGAAGTACAATGTAAACCCAACAACATAATAATCTTTGCACTTTGATCAGGAGGAAATCTCGAAAAGGTACTCAATTTTACTGTAAATTGTCGTGATCACGTATTTTGTAAGCAAATGCTGCAGTCTGGGGAATTGACAACAAGGGCACTGGAAGAAATTTCCTTCTCTTTTTGAAATAGTGCAGTGGGATCTTTAACATCCACCCAAACATGAAGCTGGGACCTTGGTTTAACATCTCATCCGAATGACTTCACAATGCAGTGCTCCCCCGGTATCATATTGGAGTATTGGCCTAGCACTTGACCTCAATGTCTTGATATGGGGGTTTGAACCCACAACCTTCTGATTAGAAGCGAGAGTGCTACCAACTGATCCAATGCATTGTAAGATCTTCTAATACATTAAATATGCCGAACAATTGTATATAACATACAATATAATGTGTTTGATATATTGCGTATAATATATACAATACAATATATTGTACAATACAATATGTGAAATAGTATTTTTAATTTACAGTATTTGGCTTATTGTAAATCAGGTAACCTCAGTTTACAATACGCAGATACATTTTTAAATGTTAAACTGAATAGACATTCAATTGAGTCTTTCTTAATAATCCAATCCATCATGCCTTTTAATAAAACTGAAGTGAAATATCACTTTTTCAGAACTGGTAAAAATAGCAGTAATAATATCAATAAAATGCTCCCTTGACATTGTCAGCAAATGTTTGTTCACATTCTCAGTGTAATGTTACTTAATAATCATAAGAAAAATAATTTTTGCATTTGATGTAGTACCTTTCACATCAGGAAAATATTTCAAAGTGCTCCTCAGGATTTACTGTAAAGTGCACTGACCAGTCTGCAGGCATACATAAGAATTTTATATCCTATTAAGTCTAATAATAATAATCCATGCATTTGATATAGCGCCTTATCACGTCTTGGAGACGTCTCACAGAATATACTGTAAAGTGAATTGACAGTATATTTTGTGGGTGAAACACGGCAGCCAATTGCGCACAGCAGTGTCTCACAGACAGTCGTGGATTGAAGTGACCAATTTATTATTTTTAAGGAATTATTAGCCCTGGAAAAGCGATCGACAAATCGACTTAACAACTGGGTTCCTACTTACTGCTAGGTAAATGGAGGCGAGTGGAGTAAGGAAACTTGCCTAACATTTCACCCTGCCAGCAATCGAACCGAGGTCTCGCTTGCAAGGCAAGTGCTCTAATCACTGAGCTACAGGACTCCAGTGTAGGATTGTCTTGCTGCAACAGGAATTTCTCTGACTACATTGATTTAATCACTAACCTCTCAGATGAAATGCTTCTAAAGTAATAATATTTCTAAAAATAGAGGTTTTATTCATGCTTTCCTTCCTTCAGGAGACCAAAGATGATCAGTGGAAAAGGGCGATGGATTATCTGAACTATGTTAGTGAGCTGAATTACATGACTCAGATTGTTATCATGTTATATGAGGACCCAAACAAGGTACTACATCTTCTGCACGCTGAAGAAATGCATTTTCTCTCACCTAGAGAAAATACCATAGTTACTTACCCTTTCATTAATACTAAATATTTTATTTTCATTTGGAGTATTGGATAATAGCTATAATTAATTCATATTTCCTGTGAGTAATTCAGTCTAGCTCAACTAAATGTAAATTCACTTGCACTTGTTTTTTCTCATGACCTGATTCTTTTATATTGCTCAAATGAAATCTAACAAATCCTCTTTATACTGTACAAGCAAATTTTATTCACCAGAGATTTGAATAATGTCCGATTCCCTCCATCAACTTTCTTCACCCAATTATACTACTTGTCAAAATAATCATTTATTGCTCAAGTCACATTACTTACATGGTGGCTTAAGCATTTCCCTAGGTGTAGATGAAACCAAAGTTTGATGGTTTAGAATAGTTTCACCTGAAGTAAGAAATATAAGTAAGTACCTCTGCTATTTTAATTCAACGTTCTGTAGCTCTTTGGGGTTTCAAAGTTCCATTCAAATACCTAATTTTATGGCTTAAATTAGGCCGTGGTCTGTCTTTTCCCGCTTCTTTCCTCCTTTCCCAAAAAACATCAAATGCTGCGTTGTATATGAGTGTTTTTGGTAAGTTCTGTGACTTTTACAAGCTCCAGCACGCCCCCTCGAGGGTGAGATTCTGTGAGGTCATTCTGTACTCTGTGTCAATGTGATAAAGCAATTACTAGATTTCAATTCATAGATTTCATTAACTTTTTATTTGAAATTCAGTATGTTTAATTATAGTACATCCCTCCAATGTGGTAAAGTATTTAACCAAACTCTATGCAATTTTTGAATTTAACTCTAAGCCAAAGGCCTAATGGGTAACGGTAGGGTGTTCCCAGTTGGTTGAGCAGCGCGAATCTTGCCAAGCAGTACTTTCAGTGGCAATCTGTGGGGTTTTACCTGGTTAACCTCCAGCAGTCCCCCAACCCACACCCTGGGGTCTCCAAACCTTGGCTCTTGCCAAGCTGTACCGAATACTCTACAGTATTGGATAAGCACGGGTGTGCTGCGTCCCTCTGTGAAAGAGTGGGTGTTGCATCCTAGATACAAACATTTTCATCTATACGTAATATGCATCAAATTCTGTGTGATTTGGATACACTTTAGCATGATGGTTGGTTTTCACATGGTCAGACCCTACCTAGGCTGACCAAAAAAGAGTGATGTTACATGGCATGACATGGCATCAACCTCATTGCTTTGGAGAGGCAACACATGTCAACAATGTAGTTCTATACAGTGGAGAGATGCCTCCAGGTCAATGTTGCATGTTATTTAGCAGCTTTCTCAGACTGAAGGAAGTCACTCATTTGCTCTCTCCCATGACCCATAATAGATAGATAAATGCAAAGCGAAGTATTTAATCTGATCCCTGCAGTCTATTGTTTCTCATAACTAACTTTTAGGACCCTTCTTCAGAGGAACGTTTTCATGTTGAATTACACTTCAGCCCTGGTGCTAAAGGATGTGAGGAAGATAAAAATATTCCATCTGGTTTTGGATACAGACCAGCTTCACGTGAGGTATTTTTGTATGAGTGTAATGTTGAGTTGTATGTGTAGTCAAGGAATTTTGTTGGCTTTTTTCAATGTGAAAGGCCATAACCCCTACCAACAAAATATATTTAAAGATTATTTACACAGACAATCAATCTGTTCTATTTTAGAGAATTGTCCAAAACTGAATCACCATTATATTTTTAGAGTTGATTAAAAATGGAGTTGTATATATGTTTTTGGCAATGGACTCTTAAATTTTGTGTAATTTATTTAAAAAGTTTGACAAAATTACAGGTAATAGTGAAAATATTGAAGATTTTTCCATCATCCATATTAGCTTTCAAGAGAGAACTAGATAGATATCTTAAAAAGCAGTAATTTGCAGGAGTGTGGGGAAAAGGCAGGAAAAGGGATTCAATGGATTACTCTTTGAAAGAACTAGCAGACACTTTAAGCTGAATAGCCTTCTTCTGTGTTATGGAATTTTATTTTGTAAGAATCCTGCTTAATCCTCACCTACAAGGCCATTCACGGCCTTGCTCCCTCCTACCTCTCTGACCTACTATCCCCCTACTTACCTGCCCGTACCCTCCGTTCCTCTGGCTCCGGTCTGCTCCACATCCCCCGCCCCAACCGCCCTACCATCGGTGGCCGGGCTTTCAGCCTCTTAGCCCCTGGGCTCTAGAACTCCATCCCCCAGTGCCTTCGCCTTTCTTCCTCCCTTTCCTCCTTCAAGGCCGGTCTCAAGACCTTTCTCTTTGACCGTGCCTTCAGCTCCCCTCTCGACTCTCTACCCCCTCCTCGCTCCCTCCCTCCCTTCCCTCCCCTCACCCTGACCATTTCCCCCCCTTGCTCGGGTCCCGACCCAACTGTCCAGCGCCTTGGGAAGTCCTCCCGACGTGAAAGGCGCTCTATAAATGAAATCTTGTTGTTGTTAAAAAAAACTACTCAGTAAATTATTTAAATGTAAAACAATTTATTTTCTAAGGAAAGATGAGCTCCTAGAGGTAATTGCTTTTGTTATTTTTTTCTAAATAGAGTGAAGGTTCAAAGAAATCCTCCCAGAGCGAGTCTGAAGAAGACTTGGCTTCAAGAAGAGAAGATTCTGAAAAGACCCTGGTGTTATTCAGGCCCATGGTATCTGACCCCATTTATATACACCGAAAATCCCCGCTGCCACGATCCAAGAAAATAGGCTCGGTGGAAGTAAGTGATCATTTTAAAGGAAGTGCGTTTGTTATGAAAGAACCTTTTTGGATGTTTGTAAAGACACCACAATTCTGTAATTTTGCATGAAGTAAGAAAAGAATGTAGTGCCTCCCTGCCACCAGAGAGAAGGGTTTAAACAAAAAAAGTAAAGATTTAACATCATAAATGCAACAGTATGCATAAGTATAATATTAAACGGGGACAGCCATCATAATACAAATAATAGACAGTTAGTCCATAATTCCTATATTCTATTTTTACTCACTTTCTTTCAAGCCGTCTCAGAATTATACAGCACAGAAGGAGGCCATTCAGCCCATTGTGTCTGTGCCGGCTCTTTTAAAAGAGCTATCCAAATCAATCCCACTTCCCCTCTCTCTCCCCATAGCCCTGCAAACTTGTCCTCCCCAAATAATTATCTACTTCTCTTTTAAAAGTTGTCATTGAATCGGCTTCCACCACCCTTTCAGGCATTGCATTCCAGATCCGAACAACTCACTATGTGAAAACATTTGTTCTCACCTGCCCTCTGTTTCTTTTAACAACTATTTTAAATCGGCGTCCTCGGGTTACCGACCCACCGGCCAGTGGAAATAGTTTCTCCTTGTTTACCAAATCCCCTCATCATTTTGGAAACTTCTATTAAGCCTCCTCTTAACCTTCTCTGCTCCAAGGAGAATAATCCTAGCTTCTCTAGCCTCTCATAACTGAAGTCCCTCATTCCTATTCCATCGATCCTAGAAATCATCTGCTCACTTTGATATATACTTAGTAGAAAACTGTTGCTTTTTAACCTTTGTACAATACCAGGGAATCCAAAATTGTAATCTTATGCCCAATTTTCCCACATTCAGAGCCTAATCAGAGGCTTTTTCAGTGTTGAAAAGGTAGAGATGAGATAAAAGTGCCATGTAGAATCACAAACCAATTATACAGTAAGGAGGAATAACATTTGCAGTGTTTCTACAGAACATTTCTATCTCACACCTGTTAACACCACACAAATTAAATAGTTGCCAAATAAATTTACTATTAAACCTTTTGTAAGATGTACTTACATCTTTTCAAGATGGAGGTAGATAGATATTTGGTATGTCAGGGTATTGAGGGATATGGGACAAGGGCGGGTAACTGGACTTCAGGTACAGATTAGCCATGATCCTTTTAAAATGGTGAAACAAGCTCGTCGGTCTGAAGAGCCTACTTCTGTTTCTATTATCTATGTAACTAGTATTTTAAAAGGTGGTGTTTTACAGTTTTAAAAGTATTATTTTCTTGTGCTCAATATATTGATCATGAAATGCTGAAGACAGTAATTGTAGTAGCATTGTAGTGGGTACATTTGCAGGACATTAATTGTCAGTAATGTTATCATTAATGTTACTGCATATTAATTATCATTAATGTTACTGCATATTTGACAACGACTCATGGAACGTATTTTTATAGGCATAAGCACTACGGAAAGACGCAATTAAAACTCTAAAATCAGTTTTTCGGTACTGAGTTTTCAAGCAAATAATTAAGAAGTTTTCATGATGTTTTAAACAGTTTAATTCTGAGAAATGCAGAATTAGGTGCAAAAGAAATGTACTGTGATAAGGAATTGTATATAATGGGAATCTATCATATATTTGATCCTGTGTTTTTGTTTAATATAGATCTGGAATATGTTTTGTTTTAACACGTCTAGAAAATTATTTGCTTCAATGTAACATTTTATATCTAACACTGCAAATATTGTAGTCTAGTTGCTACAGAGGCATTGTAGACATACGTAATCTAGTCATCCTGCCAACACAAATTGCAAAACGGTCAGCTTTGTTTAATGCTTCCCCTTCATATCATGAAATTACGCTGATTGGTATGTCCAAATTAATAACTTTGCAATTCAGCTTGCTTCCAAGGAATTGTGCTACAACTTGCTGATTTTATTTTGTTTGCGTTTTGTTTGAGTGCGTGAAACATTTGCAAAATATGTAATTCTTTAGATCGTTATTCACCAAACATATGTACTAGCAAGTGTAAAAGTTCCTTGCTATATTCCTACATACACCTACTTGAAAAGTTCAATTTAAACTGAAGTTTTAAGTCTGAGATTTTAATCTGCTTTTTTTTCATATCATATCCATTTGTTGATCAATCCATTATAATTTGGGTTCTTTCTTTTCATTGATCCCAACTTTAGCCTGACCCTGTATGATGGTCTGACGTGGCTGCGGTGCAGAATTGTATATGTAATCTGACAAATGTGCAACCTTTGGTTTGGGTGTGTTAAGTTTTGCTGTTAGACCAAATCACTCCAGAGTGATCTGAGTAAAAAGTAGAACAAATGTTTAAAGGTCATATAAAATTTGACTTAAAAATCTACAGTTAAGCCTCATCCATTGTCTTTCAATTGAGGTACATTAAAAGAAATAAGATCTAATAGACCTACTTTATCAAACTAATCTGATTTTCTGAATGCAATTATAAACAATGGTCAAGTTTTAATTAATTCCATCCCCTCCTCCCATTCCTTTTCCTTATCCTTCATCCCTTGGCCACAAGTTCATTAGAGCACAAGCATAATCACCCATTTCTCAACCGTTCTTTATATGTGTGAAATGGTTAACTTTCAGAGACCAGTATAATCAGGATGAAAGTACCTAGTCTAAAATTATAACAAATGCTAATAAATCACAAAGCTAATCTTATAATAATAATAATCCTTGCATTTGATATAGTGCTTTTCACGTCTTCTTGACGTCTCAAAGCGCTTCACAGAATAGACTGTAAAGTGAATTGACCATATATTTGTGGGCGAAACGCGGCAGCCAATTGTGCACAGCAGTGTCCCACAAACAGTCGTAGATTGAAAATGACCAATTTATTATTGTTTTAGTTTTTGGAGAGATTATTATTAGGAGTGTGGAGTAAGGAAACTTGTCCAAGGTTTCACCTTGCCGGGAATTGAACCCAGGTCTCTATACATTTATAGTTAAATCAAAAATGTTTAAATTTTATATTTAATAATATTAATCCTTGCTAGAGTTTAGGGATTGTTTTTGTACAATACAATATTACATTTGTATAGCGCCTTTCACGTCGGGAGGATGTCCCAAGGCACTGGACAGTCATGGCAATATAATGCATATTACCCTATTTTGTACACTATAATTAAAATATTTGTTTTCTACTTTTACGTCCCAGTGGAATCTATTTTAACAGTTAATATACTTCAATTAGCTACATGGTTAACCAGAAATTCAGCTGAAACTTTTCATCCTAAAATATATATTTGCAAATTATTTATTATCTGTGACTTGCAGTTTTATTTTTCAGGGTCTCCATTCATAGCTTGCTCAGTCATGGAATGTTGCCAGAGCTGGTATTCAACATTATCATCCCTTTTCAGCTGTCCAGTGAGAGAGAAAGAAAGGAAAATGCTCTGATGGGGCAGTCTTACCCCAGTTGGCCCAGAGGAAATTAAAGGACTTAATTAAAATTATAAAAACTATATATTTAATAGAGCATCAGACCTGCAGGTTTTTTTTCCCACCTTAAGGTGGTGAATTGTTTGGCCTCTACTTCGCAAATACCCACTGTGAAATGATTGAAATTATTATATGGGGAATCACGGGTGCATAGTGCTTGAGCAAGAGATTGTGGCCCTTATTTGTTAGTAAGTAACACTGGCTTTCATAATGGTGAGGCACAAGTGTGAATCGTCCATTAGCTTCAGGAGTAGTCTCAAGATGATATTAGTATTTGCCATCTTCATTGTTAAACTATGAACTACATCAGTTTTCACTTTTATGTTTTATTAAAATTCATCTGTTTGGTTTCTATAATCTACAGTAAAGTTAAACATGGCATGTAATGGACATCCAATGTAGCTATGAGTTTAATTTTTGTAATATAATAAACAAGCAGCATCAACATTTTTAAGCATGTCTTTTTGCTCTGAGTTTAAAATGGATTGATTGCCAAAAGCAGAAGCATTTGCACCAATTTTGACAGTGAATGTCAGTGTCACAAGATGTCTACTCTGCTAATCATGTACACATTGTTTTTAACCATTTCCATCCTATGTATGTTAATCCTTATTGTGTATCTTACACATGTAACTTTTATTCTGTACTTGATTACACATTTTTACAACAGAAATTTAGATTTTTAAAAGTGAAGAATTTGGCTATTTCAATCCATTTTAATGGATGGGGGTAGGGGGAAAGAAATGTTTTCAAAGATCGATTGTCGTATAATGAATGGTTAGTGATTTATGATGCACAATTGGTAGTAATTTTATGATTTATTTGGCTTACTTGTGTCTAACTTGCATGGTTTGCTGTTGTTTTTGCCCCCTTTTCTCATTTCCAGGAAGAGAGCCCCCTGAGTTTGTCTAGCCCAGAGTGTAGTGGTACCTGGATGCATTACACTAGTGGTGTGGGTACTGGGCGTCGAAGACGCAGATCAGGGGAACAAATCACTTCTTCCCCTGTCTCCCCCAAATCATTGGCTTTCACATCAAGTATTTTTGGCTCATGGCAACAGGTTTTTCAATTTTCCTTCATTCTTATGAAAACTGCCATTTTCACTGATCAGACATTCACAGTAATCATCGAGTCTGTTTTAAAGCCCCTCTTATTAATTTTAACGCTGACCTTCATAATAATAAAAAGATTAACATTAAGTATTTTCAATTGACCAATTAAGTAGACTTATTTGCTACAAATAATTAATCTATTTATTTAGGCTATATTAGACTTAATTATTGTAATTCTAATATGGTTTCTTTATTTGTAATGAATGACACTATTTTTATTCACATTTAAATAAGATTTGCTATTTTGGTGCTTATCCATGCAAGAACTTAATGTGGATGCTGCTCTTGCATTTCTTTATGCTATTCTTTACAGAATTTTGGAAGGCTAGTTCTCTAACTTGAATGTTGCAGTACCCAGTTCATTTATCACTATATTTAAAAACAGTCATAACTTGCTCGTTGGATGCATCCCAGTTAAATACTGCAATTAAAACCTGAAGGTGCTTTGACATAGCAGTTTTAAAATGCTATCCTAGCACTTAAAGTTAAGTATTCTAAATCTTGTAGGTTTGAGTTGCAATTATAATATAATAATAGTCCTTGCATTTAATATAGCGTTTTTTCACATCTTCTAGACATCTCAAAGCCCTTCAAAGAATTTACTATAAAGTGAATTGACTGTTTATTTGTGGATGAAACGCAGCAGCCAATTGCGCACAGCAATATCCCGCAAACAGTTGTGGATTGAAGTGACTAATTTATTATTGGGGTTTTTTTCTTGAGGAATTATTATCAGTTTCCTGTGTACCAATGTTTCATAAATGTTTAGCAGAGTTGGTTAGTGGAGCACCATTATTATGGGACATTTTTCATCAAAGAGGAAAACTCATATTATCCATCCCGTTCAAGAATGTAATAACAAAGTACAGTATTAAGCTCTTATGGACAATTTATAGACGAATCAGTCACAAGCTTTACCTGACCCATTTAATCTCTAAGAAAATGCTTTTTAGAGTTTTTTCCTGCTTTCCTACACCCTCCGTCACTAACCCATAAATCAAATCAAAATACCAGAATACTGATTTTATGTTACCTCCTTCATTGTACATCCTTGACTTGATGTCTTAATTGAGGTAGCATTTCCATGGTCTCAGCACCTCATACCATAATGTTCCATGAAGCATTCATTTAGCTGTTTCTGTGGTTACTTTTTATTGACCCTAAATCAGTTCTGTTCTTAAAAAAGTTGTTGATCTATGACACCATTGGGAGTGAATTCCAGTAATCTCAGGTTTAGGGCAGGGGTTGGGAGAAATCCTTCAGAACAAATCTTGATTTTGCCCTGCAGTTCTGTGCTCAAAAGTCAATAAATTAATTGCTCTCAGTACTTTAAAAATGTAAGTTATGGCTTCTCTCCATCTGTTCTCCAATGAAAACTACAGTTGTGTAAGTTTCTCTCCATATATTAGCTAATTTATCACAGCTCAGATCAAACCATACATTCCTGTTTGATAGCTATTATCTTATATTGGTGAGGATGTTGTCGTTTTAATAATAATAATAATTTTAGAATTTGATATAGCACCTTATCACGTCTTCGAAATGTCTCAAAGCGCTTCACAGAATATACTGTAAAGTTAATTGACTGTATATTTTGTGGGCAAAACGTGGCAGCCAATTGTGCACAACAGTGTCCCACAGATGACACGGCTGATTTCGACTGATCCCCTAGGTTGCTTCTCCTCCCTTGTTCACCTGTGTGGGACCAGACTCTTCTGGTTCAATTCCCACAGACTCTGCTTTGTTTCCTCCAACGGTTTCTCCTTCTGCCCTCCTCCTGTCTCCTGGTTGTACCTCAATGCTTCATTCTCGACCTTTTCCGTATCTAAATGCTTCCTCTTGATGACATCTTCCACAGACAATGGGTTAACTTCCACATGAATGCAGTTGACACCCAAATCTATTTTTCTTCCTCCAGTCCCGATCCCTGTCTCTGTCTAGATTGACTTCAAGACCCTCACCCTTGCATACAAATGCCCAAACTTACTTGCTCATACCACACTTCTATACATCCTTCCTTTCATACCCCCCACCCCCCCCCCCCCCCCCCCCCCGGCTTACTGTGCATTCTCCTGACCCCTGTGCGCCATTCAACACTAACCCCCTAACCACAGTTTTGTCAACTTCTCCTTTCCCCTTGCTTGGTGTCCAACTGCACCACTCTATAGTGGTAGCCTGCGTGAAAGGTACTGTGTACATGCAGGTTTTTGTAATTGTCCACATCCTTGAAATTATGGGCTTCAGGAAAAGTAGTTACCCTATGAAACTTTTCATTTCATTCTTCTATCAGTAGAAATGGCTACATATTTACTTGTTCCTAAAATAAAACACAATTAAATGAAAAGAGGTACTGCAACTTAAACCTAACGAAGAATATGCAATATCCAAAATATATTCTTGTTCTGTCTGCATGGTATTTAAGATATATTATTCTTCCGCAAGCTCTTATGTGCAACTTTGCCTCTATGGGTTCAGTGTAGGTAACTGGTGTAGCAATAGAATGGTATCTGTATTCTGTTATAGTTGAATATTTTCCTCATCTGTTTACTTTACTGCTATGTGTTAATCTGATGTTTGTTGTGTTCACTCCATTGCAAAAATATTGTAGGTGGAATTGATTCAATTCAGGGTAGGAGATTTTGCATGAATTATCATTGTCTGCATCTATATGTTTCCACTAACATTTATCATGCAGCTTATTAACACTGATTGAAGCAGGTGTCAGTATGAACGCTGTTTCTTGTTGCTGTTCAAATATTCAAAATATCATTCCACTTCTTTGCAGGTTCTCTCAGACAGCAGTAACCATTTGCGACCTGGAAGGTCACATACAGAACAGAAATACACTGGACTTGGTAAGTGCTGAATATGTTTGGAAGAGTGTGAAATCAATCCAACACTGTTCATTTTATATTGTTAGTAATAGAAAATGAGTAGAGTGTTGCCAGACGTAAATTGATTTGTGCAGGTTTTAAAAGGATTTCTACATGGGAAGTTTGCAGGAATAATCTACATACAGGTTTATTGGGTTTGACCATAGTTTTTAGTGTTTCTTTTTGGTTTGTTTTCATATTTAGGAAAGTTGCAAATTCACATGCAAAGTGTGAATACAGAATTTAAATCCTTCTGATTATAAAACCCACATTGATTCTTAAAAACTGCCCCATTTGAAAGATTCATCACCACGTGAGTAATGTGTTGCCTTGTGACTGGATTTGAGGTCACTTACAAAAGCATGGTGTGCAGCAACTTATTTTAACAAACCCTGGCATCTGTTTATATATGATTGATATTTGTTATAAGATCTTGATTTATTTTATTCCTTCAGTCAGAAATTTAGATTGATTAAAAAGTATTCTCTTTTAGAAAGCAGTCAAATGTTTATTTTGTCCCATGGAAAGGAGCACGAACGGACAACCATGATTATGAAATCAGTTTTAAAATGTGTACTTTTGTGTTGAGTAACTGCATTTGAACAGTTAACATGCATTTGAGAGCAAATTATTGGCATAAATCTTTTATCACCTGCGATTCCTTTGTTTATCATGTATTTGGATTTCCTATGTTTAGCACAGATTCCAATGTGTTGGAAAACAGTTCAGTTTTTAAAAATATGGCTTGTGAGTAATTCATAGTACCCGGTATTCACCTAGCAGTACCCAAACCTGCACTTATCAGATGTCTCATGACCAACTAGTGACTAACCTTGAAGGGATGTAAGACAGGTCTATTTAGACTATGCTGCTCCAAGGTGACGTACATGCCAATATCAGAATTGAATAAAATCTTTGTGGTGGTCTCACTAGCTCAGTTCTTGAGGCAGGCAGGTCCACAGTATCTTAAGGTACTGTTGATGAAAGACCAGCAAGCCTAGCTTTATCAGGAGAATCAGATCATATATGGAGTCCTGTAGCTCAGTGGGTAGAGCACTTGCCTCGCAAGCGAGAGACCTGGGTTCGATTCCCGGCAGGGTGAAACCTTGGGCAACTTTCCTTACTTCACACGCCTGCTAATAATCCCTCAAGAAAAAATAATAAATTGGTCCCTTCAAACCACGACTGTTTATGGGACACTGCTGTGCCCAATTGACTCCTGCGTTTCGCCCACAAATATACAGTCAATTCACTTTACAGTATATTCTGCGAAGCTCTTTGAGACAACCATATATGTATGTGGAACTCTCAGTAATTTGGTTTGGAGAACTCTTAAGCACGAAGATGGGTTTCTGTACATGACAGATATCTTGCTGACTCGAAAAAAAATGTTTAAAAAAAATGTGGATGCAAAAAATGTTCGGCCAAAATGTTTTGAAAGAACATTTCAAGCATAAGGGGATTTGACGTATACTATATATTAGCATATTTGGTTCCGTAAATTGACCAATGTAAACCTTGGAGCGATCTTTTTGCAGACATATTTAGGGATGATGTTATGCCTGGTAGTAGGTTTAGTGCATTTAGATAAATAAGTGCACATCATAAGATGTGCTAAACCTACCGCCTTACAAAGCATCACCCTTTTCTTATTTCTTTGAGGGAGAGGTCCTTGTTCCAGCTTAAATACCCTGACTGTAAATATATTATTCTAGCCTTTTAAACAGAGAAACTGTTCATCTGCTGATGATATAAGATTTAACTGTTTAAACTTCGTATTTTTTAAAGTGATGTGTGTGCATAAAGGAATGCCTAAACTTGTTTGTGTGTGCCATGCCAGTAAACAATCTTTTGTAATTCTAAGGCATGCTGCATGTATCCCTCTATGGAACGTAGAACACCTGGTTTGTATGTGTTTTCTCTAACTCCCATTAGGGTCTCACTGTGCAGGCCTGTTTAGCACTACTGTGCTTGGGGGTTCCTCGAGTGCGCCTAACCTACAGGATTATGCTCGTACGCATCGTAAAAAGCTGACATCATCTGGCTGCTTTGATGGTATGTGCACATATCGCTACGCAAACCTGTAGCCAATTTTTTTCAGAAATATTGGAATTCTGTGTTGAAAATAGCAGAATCCTATTTCTCCCTTTCCAAAACCTGAGCCTGGAAGACCAGTCCACGCTCATTGTATCATATGGATCACCAGTTTATGCTGCAGGCAAAAAATTTACACAGTGTTCTAACTGCATTAGATACATATATATGCACCAAACATAGCTCAAAAATGTTTACCAAAGCTTTATCATTTTTCCTAAGTAATCGATTTCCTGCATTTGGTATTTCCAATCTGAGTTTTTTTGAAAACTTAATGCTTCATGCATATACTAGTTGACCAGCTGTAAAATTTATTGTGTGACTTTGCTATAAAATTGCATACAATTACATTCCAGTATTAAATTGTAACATTCCAAGACAAATGGTGTGGAGTCCTGCAGCTCAGTGGTTGGAGCACTCGCTTTGCAAGCGAGACACCTGAGTTCAATTCCAGGTAGGGCGAAACTTTGGGCAAGTTTCCTTACTCCACACACCTGATAATAATCCCTCCAAAATAAAAAAACAATAATAAATTGGTCATTTTCAATCCACAACTCTTTGTGGGACACCGCTGTGCGGAATTGGCTGCCGCGTTTCACCCACAAATATACGGTCAATTCACTTTACAGCATATTCTGTGAAGCGCTTTGAGATGTCTAGAAGATGTGAAAAGAGCTATATCAAATGCAAGGATTTATTTATTTATGGTGGCAGAAGATGAGGGTTACTTTCTGGGACCATAACTATTGACATGTTAAATAAAGATAAGGTCAAGAATGCCTCATTAATTTATCAGTTTAGGTAGTCAATCAAAGTCCGCTGTGAAGGCTGAGATTTGAGGCAGAATGGTGATTTGGAGAAGGCTTTTTAGGAACCATTTGTCACTAAATGGTGGCAAAGTACTTTCTATACTTTCACTAACTGGTTGTTGTGATTCTTTTCCTTGACATTAATTTGCAATGTACTCTTAACACTCATTGATAACAAAGGGATCTGTAACAGCTGACAGTTTTACCCTCACTGACTTTTTTCCCTCTAAATAACCCTGCATGCAGCCTAACTTAACCCTTCCTTTTAAACTCTGTTCTGGTAGCTGTTCAAATTTCAGGTACCTGTTTTTCTCTTTCTCAGACACCACACGCAGTTCTGCTGTAAAAAGATTTTCTATCTCATTTGCTCGACACCCAACCAATGGTATGTTTGCTTTTTGTTTTCCCTCCCCGGAAAGATGCTACCCCTTGCTTCATTTTTTTTTCAATCTCAGGTGCAAACTTGTGCAACCATTCATCCACCTTAATCTCAAAACTGATACATCTCTTGAAAGTGTGTTTATAAACACTGGAATTGCTGGAATACTTCTCTTTTTTAACCCCTTTCGTGTTTTCATTAAAATACATTCATCATACGTAACATTTTTGTGTTGTATGAGAAAAAGTTTTTGTCCTATATAATTGATCATTTGACTATTAAAATACAGAGGGTTCATTTCAATATTAACAATTCTCTAATAATGAGTGTTAACAGAAATCTTTACTAATTGTGGCATGATATTTTTACCCTTTAGAGGCCACTCCATAGCTATATCTGCAGTTGTTATATTAACATAACTATTAGCAAAACCGCGGTAAAATTAGTGAATGAGTGAGTCTATTTCAAAACATTTCAGTGCATTCTCATAATTATTCATCTGGAAGAAGATGAATATCAGGAATTCTTTAAATATAAATTCATTTGACACTTTTTAATGTCAATTTTATATCATGTTTTCCAGAAATGCTAGATTACATACAGTATCTGTATTGTACAGAGTTTCTAAATTATCTTTCATCAAGTGTAATACACGTATTGTTTTCACCATATATGCATTTAAAACATTCTTTGAATTTGGAGCAAAAAACTAATGTTTTCATTTTTTATTGTAATAGAGCTTATACCATTTGTTGGCTATAAATGGGCCTGTTTGAGAAAAAAAATATTAGAAACCATGGTTATTTGACCACTTAAAATAATCAGAATATTTTTTTAAATCACTTGGTAGACTAATAAACCTGGACAGAGTGGAAGTTCAGTTATAGTTCTTCTGTTAATAAAGAATAGATATCTGTCCACATGTTGAAAATTTCATTCAAAACTTCTCCAAGCTTCGCAGGTTGATGAAGTGAACAAAAGCTGAACAAAATTGAGCTTAAAAGCAATGTTTCATTTTAGCATTAGAAGAAGGCCTCTTTAAAATTGCCTACAGATAAAACCATGTTACAGTTTATTTTTAATATTTAAATGAATATTTTAAAAATGTTCTGGGATTCAACAAATCTGGAGATTTGTTAAACGGTTACAAAAATAACCTTTTTAAAAATCCAATCAGGATCAATCACTAATCTTTGGTGCTCCTGGTAAGCATTCTTTAAAATACGTGAAACAAAATGGAACTTCACTGCATACTAATTCAACAAATCTGATTCAAAAGAATTTTGTTGTGGAGTACCTATTGTGCAAACATAAATATTGGGTAGACAGTCAAATATATTGGCTCTTGTCTTTGTACATACACCCATGTATGTACAATACAAATGTAATTTGATCAAAATCAATTTAATTTTTTGAAATTAGAAATGATAAATTCACTCTAGTCTTGCTGTCATTTTACGCCATTTAAGTTTTCCTAATCTTATGACGATAGTAATTGAGCCTTGAACTCAATAATTTTACAATTTAAGTGGGAAACGTAGAAACAGGAGTAGGCCATTCAGCCCTTCGATCCTGTTCCTATAAGATCTGTACCTCAAGTCCAATTACCCTCCCTTGCCCCATGTCCCTTAATACCGTGACCTAACAAATAGCTATCCATCTCAGTCTTGAAGATGTGAACGGATCCAGCATCCACAGCC